AAGAAAAATCTGACAAATATTGCTGAAATGAAAGAAGAGGTGGTCCGATATTGGGACAGCATGGACCACGACTTTCTAACTTCTTTGATCAGTAGTATGCCCCGCCGCATTGAAGCCTGCATTGCTGCCCATGGTGACTTGACAAAATACTAACTGTTCACCTGTCTTTAAATCTGGAGTTATGTTCTGCTAATATTCACATTTAATACGTGAGTAATGAGTGAAAAAAGAAAAAATACAATCTTTAAATTCTCAATAATTTGCACACAGTTTGATATACATGTACGAACATTTCTTAAAAACCATTATGTTGTTAATTGTGAACAGTGTAGAGACTGTGACGATTTCTTGGGTTACGAGATCTCAAATGATGAAATCTTGAATGCAGTTAAGAATCTGAAAAATGGTAAATCTCCTGGGGCTGATGGTATTCCGACGGAGGCCATTAAGGAAACTTGTTTGATACTATTACCTTTCTACAAATGTCTTTTCAACGAGATTCTCAACACTGGTAATTTTCCAGACTCTTGGAACCTTGGTCTTATCGTTCCGTTACATAAAGCTGGGGATAGAGAGGATCTCAATTACTACAGGGGTATTGCTCTACTTGACATAATTAGCAAAGTATTCACAAGTATTTTAGATACACGTATAAAACTTTGGGCTTCAACACAGGATATCATCTCCGAGTCGCAAGCAGGGTTTAGAGAAGACTACAGTACTATTGACCAAATATTTGTTCTAAATTCGATTATCCACAAGTACATAAGGAAAAAAACGTGGAAAATTTTACTGTATTTTTGTTGATTTTAAAGAAGCTTTCGATACCGTCGACAGAAACAAGCTCCTATATATACTTCTCAACAATGGCTTACATGGTAAAATTAGCACTGTTTTACGTTCAATGTATACTCATGCAAAAGCAGCTGTTAGGTGTACGAAGTACAGCATGTCTGAAATATTTAACCCAGTGACTGGAGTACGACAAAGTTGTATCTTATCTCCAGTCCTATTTATTATGTACATTGATGAATTAGTTAACGACATCATAAACAGCGACTATAGTGGCGCTTTTATTGATGAGACTATAAAGGCACTGTCAATTCTTCTGTTTGCGGATGATGTCGCTATATTTGGAGACAGCGTCGTGAACCTACAGAAAAAGATTCATATCTTAGAACAGTATTGTACGAAATGGGGATTGTCAATTAATACAAATAAGACAAAGGTCATAGTTTTTTTTAAAAGGTGGTAGAATAGCAGAAAGAGAAAAATGGTCTATTGGAACAGAGAACTAGAAACTGCCTCCTATTACAAGTATCTGGGATTAACGTTATCCTGTAGAAATGTATTCACAAAAGCTTGTGGTCTTTTGTGTAAGCAAGCAGAGAAAGCCTTATTTCCTATTAAGAAATTCATGTACAGATATAAAACAATTCCGCCCGATATATTTTTCAAAATTTTTGACTGTAAAATCCAACCTATATTATTATATGGAGCAGAAATTTGGGGAACTGTTATCCGTCATGGAATAGAAAAAGTACATTCAAAATTTTGTAAAAACGTTCTAAACGTTGGCTATCGCACACCGAACAAGGCAGTTTTAGCCGAATGTGGGAGGTATCCTTTACATGTAACGTATATGACACGAGTTGTTTCGTTCTGGATACGTCTGCTTCGGCAACAAGACACACGTTACTCACGTCGCTCGTATGATATGTTGAAACGTCTAGACGACAATGGAGATATTAACTGGGCTTCGGCAACCAGACATACGTTACTCACGTCGCTCCTATGATATGTTGAAGCGTCTAGACGACAATGGAGATATTAACTGGGCTTCGGCAACCAGACATACGTTACTCACGTCGCTCGTATGATATGTTGAAGCGTCTAGACGACAATGGAGATATTAACTGGGCTTCGGCAACCAGACATACGTTACTCACGTCGCTCCTATGATATGTTGAAGCGTCTAGACGACAATGGAGATATTAACTGGGCTTCGGCAACCAGACATAGGTTACTCACGTCGCTCCTATGATATGTTGAAGCGTCTAGACGACAATGGAGATATTAACTGGGCTTCGGCAGTACGATCAATGTTATTTCAACATGGCTTTGCTTATGTATGGATATATCAAAATGTTGGAAACTGGGAATTGTTTGTAAATCTTTTCAAACAACGTTGTAAAGACATGTACTACCAAGAATGGACACAAGATATAAGAAACTCAAAATCATTATACGTGTATGTGTATTCTGCCTTTAAAACCGATATTGTTCCGGAATTGTATTTGATTGCACTCTCTTCGTTACATCTGCGCAGAGTCTTAACAAAATTCAGATGCGGCTCCACAAATTTGAAAATAGTTTCGTATAGAAGATATAAAGACAATGACATTAGTGTAGCTATGTGCGATATAAATGTGTACCAGAAGATGAGTATCATGTGTTAATGAAATGTCCTTTATATGCAGCGGTAAGAACTCACTACATACCAGGTACCTATATTATGAACCCAAATAAACAAAAAATTGTACATCTTCTAAATACTAAGAACCATAATATAATACTCCGCCTAGCAATGTTTGTGAACAAAATCATGTCCATGCGCTCTGAAAAAGTTTAATCTAAGTTGTCATTTTGTACTATTGGCCTCATGGCCACATTTATGAAATAAACCTGTCTGTCTGTCTGTATTGTATTACTCTACCAACTTCTAAATGCCTATCAAACATCTTATTTTAGAATTTGGTTTGCGTGTATCCCTCTTCTGTCTAAATTGGGGTCGTCCATATGTATGTCGGTCAATATTTGTCAAGCTACTATCGGTGTCCAAAGATGAATAATGAAGAGGAGATTCAATATTTCTTATCAATTTCATCCAAAATCATTTTTGTCAATGAAATTATCGTCTACGTTGGTGTACGTATCATCTATATTCACTTTTTATTTATTTGTTTATTTTATTTATTTGTTTTTATTTATTTATTTATTTTATTTATTATTTTTATTTTGCTGCTATTTCAGCTATATATTATGGCAGACTGTAGGCTAATCAGTTGACTTTAGACCAGACCGTTTGGTGAAAGACAAATTTAAATAATAATGAGTGAGTGAGTTTAGTTTTACGCCGCACTCAGCAATATTCCAGCTATATGGCGGCGGTTTGTAAATAATCGAGTCTGGACCAAACAATCCAGTGATCAACAGCATGAACATCGATCTACGCAATTGAGAACCTATGACACGTGTCAACCAAGTCAGCGAGCCTGACCACCCGATCCCGTTAGTCGCCTCTTACGACAAGCATGGGTTCACTGGCCATTTCTAACCCGGATCTTCACGGGTTTCAAATAATAATGTTCAAACTCGTGTATCAACGCACAGACCACATGTCATAATGGTGTGATAATATATGGTCTCCGATCAGGCAGTTGCATGTCACAGAGTCTGGAATCACTATGAGTTATTTCTCATATATAACAAGTCATTGCCAGGAAAGTAGAACATTTTTTACATCTAAAGCTTATTTCCTGTGTGGTGATCAAGAGAAGGACGCAGGAGGTGTGCGTGTGTGTGGTGACGCCAAAATATCTCGCAATCTTGGGAGTAATCACTGAGACCATGTTGCATAAAATAGGGAGTGAGCGCGCGCGTGTTCGCGAGCGCGTGCGTGTGTGCGTCTGTGTATGCGCACACACAAATAATAAATGAACGTGCAGTCACTATATGAGTTAAACAACAAAACAAACAGATTTTGACAGACAAAGTCGTGCAAAAATTATTCGGAAACTTGACGTAATTTCTATGGACTTACATGTTAATTTAGTGTAGCATAAATAATTTTCTTGAATTTAATTTTCGTAAGATCCAAGTCAAATTTTGAACATTTGTGGGGAATCATCTTACCTACAATCACATAATTTCTGTTTAATTTTCCGTTGCTTATTTATCGAATGGCAACAATTTAATCAACATATGTACAGTGCTGTGAACTCCTTTAAAATGGCGGCCTGTGGGATTGTGCATTGTGGAACCATACGTAAGTTGATAAATGTGATGTCATTAGTTAAATAGTGGTTGGAGATGATTTCAAATTTGCCTGTCAAATTTGACAAAGATCGATCCTAAACTCATTTCATGAAAATTATTTATGCTACACTGAAATAACATGTAAGAAATGACGGCGTCAAGTGTCCGAATACTTTTTGCACGACTCTGGATGTTACACCATCAAAATGAAATAGATATCTACATGCATGCCTGATGGATTATGGACATTTTCATATGAAAATGCTTGTTGAAATATTACCCTAGTTTCAAATATTCACATTGTAGCGACCTAAACGCCGATAAGTACAACAGACATTTAATAGACAGCCCATGTTGTTCTTGTGGACATCAGAGTGAAAACGCCCTACACTATTTCCTCACTTGCCGTAACTATACTCGGATAAGACTTAATATGTATTTTTACACTACCGGTTATAACCTGGATACCATTCTTAAGGGAAACAAAGAACTTACTCCCTGTGTAAACCAGAAAATAGTTGAATCCGTCCACGATTATATAACCAAGACACAACGCTTCAAATTTTCTCAGGAAAATAATTAAATTTACTCAACAACCTTCTCATGATTGATTTATATTTCTACAATGGCTTGTTAGACACATACAACTGTAACTCTCTAACTTATGACTACTTAGAGAATAGTTGTATTTCATGTAATCTGTATATATTTATATATATTTAAAAATATTATATTTATGCAATGGTCAGTATCGATGACGTCAAATCCTCCATTTCATGTTGTATTAGATCTATATCTTGCATGGGAGCGGTGTTAATATAAGCAGTAATGCTTGTTCACCATCCCAATTCATCTTCATGAATAAAAATATGTTTAAATCAAATATTCACATTATAAGCGACATCTCGATTTCCATGGTTTCATGTAAACATCGCCGGTCTTTATAAAGCGGAAGTGACGTTTTGCTTGGATTCCATCAAAGCTTCAAAATGGCGGACCAGCGAGCAAAGCTGCAACAAGGGGGTTTTTGGAGTGCCCCTCAAGTACAATATAGTAAACAAACACATGATTTATTGAAAGGTAATCAGTCAAATATTATGTACATCTTTGATTAAATTAAATGTTTAAGTATGTCATGTCCCTGTTATTTCAAAGCAGTCGAAAAAGAAGAGAATTCATCACGTTATACCTTTTTCAGATGAATGTGTTATCATCTTTTCTACCATGACGACTGCTTGACTAAGATTGTGGACCATAATAATACCGATAATGTTTTGTCTCCTACGGACACAACATGGTTTATATCTTGAATTCATAAATTGTAATCATTTATGATATTAAAGTGTCACCATTATCCACATGCGATCAAACATGTATTCTCTGTAATTTTACACTTTCCGCCATTCTGATACCAGACTATAGAAAAGTATACTGGCTAGCGAACAGTTATCGCCATATTTTAGCGGTATTTACAAAATTAGGTAAGACTACAGAATACAAGATACCTTCCGCCATCTTTGAAAGCATGCGAATTTACTTAGGGTTAGAGTATGGGTAAGGTTTAGGGTTAGGGTAAGGTTTAGGGTTAGGGTGGCATGACACTAAACAATATGGCTGGTAGGTATCCGGTATTCTGTAGGTGTACCCAAAATTACTCCGCCGTTCATTAAATTAATGAAACAGAATTAATTATGATAATTAATTAGCTATTCACTGATGTGTCCAGCCCTTTCACTGCCGCCGATCGTGTATTTATATAACGCGGCAGAAGGGCATCATAGCAGTATAAATAGATGTTTTCTCACAACTAACTGTAACAGTTATCACCATTTAGAATTTCTCATGTCATTCGTGAAATAATATATATATCATATATATCATACAACAATCTCGATTAATTGATTGTGTGACTATTTGAGTGTTTCTTTTACAGTAGATTGATAGAAAATAAATCAATTAATGACTTGTGAACTGGAACTTGCTATTATATTGGTCGTGGGACATCCCCCTGACTAAGTTAAAATATGTTTATAGGGTTCATAACTTTATCTTTAATTTTTCTCTTATGTTACTTACCATGAAGAATTTTCTTTTGCTGTCCTTTATTGTTGTCAAATACCATGGGGAAGAATACTGGATTTGTAATTGATCGGGAATTGTGCACGTGTGATACTAGGGGTGACTATTGAGGGGGAAACTACTATTGCGATAGTGATAGTCTATTGCAACATACTGTTGTGATAGCGATAGTCTATGCGACCCACTATTGCAATACTATTGCAATTTTTTTTTTTTCTCCTTGAATTGTCTCATATGAAGTCATTTCTCAAATGAATGTATAGTTTATATGAAATAAAATCAAGTTGAAGTAGTTTCAGTCTCTTTTAATGAGTGACAAGAAACCTGAAACCCAGATGAAGTAAATAGTTAAAACAAACTCAATGAAGCTGCAAGTCTGCACCCAAACATCCTGTATTTTGCACTGCACATTTATCAACAGAAGTCAATAACTAAACTATCGATAGCCAAACATACTATCGATGCATTGATAGTTTTTCGTTTCTACCATCAATTAATTGCTATCAGAGACTCAACAATTGCAATGCATCGATAGTTCGATGCATTGTTACAGCCCTATGTGATACTGATGTATTGGTGATAACAGATGTTTGATAGGCAAGTATTAGCCCAGAAACGTCGTGTGTAAATAATAAAGAAGTTGCACATCCATATCAAGTGTGTGGTGATAACAGTTACGTGGCAATAACTGTTCGCTAGTCACTGTATGTTGCTGTTGTTAATGAGGGAGAAGACATGTTTGCATGAAGTTGCTGTCTGTTTGTAGAAAATCACAAACTGTCAGTCACAACTAGGCATAAACATATAGATCAGTAATAAATAGCCATAATAGTATCACAAGTGGTGTAAGATATCCTCATGCTCTTTAGGCCATTTGTTAAATATGGATATGGTTTATCCTAACTGAAACATTATTGTATTGTATTTCTCAATTGATTACCTATTTAATAAAAATAAATTAAGTGGTATTAAATTATGAAATCATAGCATATACATACAAACTATCATTTTTCTGTGGATGATTTTATTTTACAAGGAACAGGTAGTATTTGATGTATCATTTTGAATCTTCCCAAACCCTGGGTTATTATCCATTTTTTTTCATTTTTAGAAATGATGAAAGAGTCAAAATTAACCAATTTTCAACAAAGACATCTGGAGAAGTCTCTAAGAGGTAAGTACAGCAAATGTCTCTTGGAACATTCAATATAGGTTTCAAATGTGTTGGGCTTGTCCTACTCATAGGATCATTACAAAGGTCAAGATAGTTATAACCTAACAACAACAACAGTGATTGCATGTAAAATAGTACTACCATTGTCAATGAAAATGAAATCCATGTAGTTATGTGTATAGATATATTAGACCTGTGGGGGCGGTGGGATAGCCAAGTGGTTAAAGCGTTGGCTCGTCACGTCGAAGATCCGGGTCTGAATCCCCACATGGGTACAATGTGTGAAGCCCATTTCTGGTGTCCCCCGTCGTGATGTTGCTGGAATATTGCTAAAAGCGGCGTAAAACCCAAACTCAGTCAGTCAGTCAGTCAGTATTAGACCTGTGAAGATCCAACTTAGAACTGGTCTTCAGCAACCAATGCTTGTTGTAAGAGGTGACTAACGGGATCGGGTGGTCTGGCTTGCTTAAGTTGCTGACTTGGTTTTTGTATGTCATCGTATCCCCAAAATGGAGATCAGTGCTCATGATGTTAATCTCTGGATTGTCTGGTCTCGACCTGATTACTTGCAAACTGCCATCATAGAAATTAGAATTGGAATGTTGCTGAATGTGATGTAAACCAAAACACAAACTAAAAAATAGATATATTAGGTGACTGAGTTCAAATATTTCAACATCCAGGCTTGATATGTACAGGAAGTATCAGATTAATTTTGTTTGGAACATCATTCTTTTGTTGATTAAACTTGAAAAGATACATAGATTTTAATTGACACCTACATCCAAGATACAATAAGTAAAATGAGTACTGCCTGTCTTGAAATACCCTGTTTTAAAAACATGTTTAGTGTAACTGCACTAAGTTTCCTTAAAATTGAGGATAGAGATCGGTAATGTTTCTACCAAATGCAGTCAGTTTTGTTAAACATGTGAACATTCATTCATAATTACTGCATTTATCATAAAAACCTAAAATGCATTAAAAAGAAATTTTGCCACTCAAGTAAATTTTATATGGGCCACTTCGCAACGAACAAAAGAGCAATTGGTTGCCAGAAAGACATATGTCCCACCTCTTCAACCTTCACTTTCAAGTCTAATAAAATTCAAAATATATCACACACAAAAATATGCTTCACAGTTTTGGATTCTGTGGGAAATGTCCTGTTTCTTGATACTATCCATTATCATCCTAGGCAAACAAAAGGTATGAAAATGACCACTGAAAATTGAGTATTTTTGCCATTTTTGACACAATACGAAATTTGGATTCACAGTGTTATTTGGTGTATATGTTTTGAGATGTAAAATGTGGAATGTACAATATAGCGTAATAGTAATCACTGATATCTGTTTTAATCACCAATTCTAATTCTGAAACTTCACTGATAAATCTAGAATCGGTTTGGATGTTTCACTTTTAGAAGATGCACAAACACAGTGACCTTTCTACCATATTGAACCAGTTATGAGATGCCTATTACGTCACATATATTTTACACTCATGTGTGATAAATACACCATTGAATTCCTCATGCATTTTAGAATAGGATAACAAATAGTCTTTGTCACCAATACCAAGTGTGTAGATGAAATCAAATGAAATTTATTGGGTGTGAAAATTAATGCTGTGCTTGTTAGAGAGAACTTGTTGGAATTGTAAACAGAGAAAATGAAAATTATGCACTGTGCAGCATTTTATCAAATTTCATGATGTCAGAAACAGGAGAATATGAGAATCTAAGAATGAATTTACATATTGGATAGGGCCATCCATTTATGTGATTACGCTGTTATGTCATTTCTCCTGTTGTATGATTTCAACATTTCCTGACTTTGTGATGCTACCAAAATGTATCCAGTTACAATGTGGATCTTTGTGTAAACATGGTATAGCATAGCAGAGTTATGCCTTCTCATCATCATCTGTGTGGGACCTGACTATTGTCTTAGAGGAAAATCCATTTTCACCATTTAGGGCAAGCCATATTTTATATTGAATATATAACATTAAGCGGAGAAATTTGCTGTGACACTAAACAAGATTTCAGACTACTCTTACCAGTGTCCTTTCTTCAAAATGCCTAAGTATTTGAACTTGAATTTACCTCATCTGACAGAAAATTTATTATTCTACATTTCTGTGTAATTTTATAGTCTTAGGTAGTAGAAACAGTATAGCACAATTCTCCAACAACGCTCAATTTTCAGAAATTGTGCCTCAGAAAAAAGCCCTTGGCATCCAGGAGGTTGAAGTAGCCAAGGAGCATGAAGCTGAGCAATATAATGCAAAGTGACAAGGACTGAAAATAATTACACTGATTTCCTGGCTATATTGTGTCTATGGCTTGTGACATAACAGATGTAAATTTTTAATGCCATTGTTTTTAAAATGATACACCATCTGGTATAAACCTTATATTAGAAGCATGTTTGACATCACCATGTTGCTTGTTGCTGATAGCCTACTGGTATGTGTAATAGGTGGGAGCAGCCTACCCACAGCATGTGCTCCTACTACCAGCGCCAGGCCGAGACAGAAGAAACCCCCTCCAAAACCAAGCAAAATAATCAACCCCAGGTAATAATAAGTATGATAAGACATCTGTCCACCATCCAGTTTTTGTTTCCAGAGCAGACCTCCTCAACTGTAGAATTGTTCTTGAAACCTGCTACACAGATTAGTCTACTGGCAAACAAGGATAATTTGGACCGGCGCAGAGAACGCGTCTACGAGAAGTAGGCGGTGCACGGCAATGAGCAAACCCATTTGGTTTGTGAAAGGTAGAGCAGATGTAGGCTAGTGAACGTGCAGTGCATGACGATGGAATTGATTCCGCACGTAGCTGCACTCTCATGTGGTTGGTGTAGCAGTACACTTGATCATGGACAAGCTGGGGCCCCTTCGCTCACAATGGCTAAGCGCCAGTGGGCGGCACCCACACATGCTAATACAGGTCAATTTTCAGGTCGGTGCTCAACTTGTCCTTGTTTGCCAGTAGCGGTGAAGTGGTGCCGTTTGATGACTTGGTGTTTTTTTGCATGACAAGTTGGACTGAAAATGTGGGTTGTGCTGTATGTATGTTGGCCCTGATTGAAAATACAACACATAAAGACACTCACACACTTGCTGTCTAGTCAGTGGACTGGTCAGTTTTGCATCCGGTCCAGTAATCATTGTGTTGTTTTGAGATTAGGGGTGAAACAGTACGCTCTTACCACGATACGGTACGGATTGCGTTATAAACCCTTCGGTTCGGTCCGTTCCGGTTCTGTATATGAAATATGATCACAATGCAGAAAATTGACAAGAGCCAAACCTTACATTGTTTAATAACATCGGAAAAAAATATTCATAAATGTTTGTTTTTTTGAATAAACAAAACTGTCATTTCTACTAATACTGTGGCATATCATTTACCTCTACTTGAGATGTTATCAGATGTATGGCTTGCCTTCGACATACAAACTCCTCTGTTGTAGTTGACTTGCCTTCTCCTGTATATTTTAGGACATTATAACTCCTGTGTTGTCTATGACATATTCACCTGTATGTCATCCTGATATTTTGTTCCAGGACGTACAGTGGTGGTGTCCGAACAAAAGACACAATGGAAGAAATGGGAGCATTTCAAAAATCAGATTATGTTCCACCAAGACAGAGTAAGTTTGAATAATTTACACCACCTCAGGGACTGGTATTTTGTAGGATTTCATTAACAGATTAACGAAGTTTGCTTACTGATTTTCTGTTGTTCATGTTAGTGCATGTATTTAATATTTGCTAGTATTTTTAAAGCATTGAACACATTTGCATTGATGTTGTGCCAATGCTCTTTATTGAGGTTATGGTTGAGTTCCCATATTAATGTATGTGAATTCAAACAGAGAGGGTTCGGTGTTGGGTTGGAAATATTAAACAGACCTGCTATGTTGTCAGTATCATTCAGGGATAAATGAACATTATTTGATTTTCTTAAGACACACGGTCAGCTCGTGAGAAGGAGAAACTGGCAAACATCATGGCCTATGGAGAAGACATGGACCCCATCCCAATGGCTCGGGTACGGAAACGTGTTGACATGGAGATTGGAGAAGTGTCGGATGTGGACAGGTTCCAGGAATGTAAGTACCCTGACAAGCAGACTGTGTTATAGTAGTACAGAGAACACAAATTCTTAGTACCCATAAAACCATTTATCATGTAATCACTTGCTATTGATGTTGTTGCTGTTGAAATGTTGAAGTTAGGTAATCATTAAACGTATGTGCATTGATCACTGCTTGTGTCCAACAGTGCAAGATGAAATTAATGAAAGACGGAACTTTCTGGCTGACATGGAGAAGTTGGGACAAGGAGCTAAATATAAAGGCATCATAGAGACCGAAGTCTCTCAGGTATGTTCAGAACCAGATGTGGATACAGGTTTGAAGAGTGATAAATCAGTCGTTTGAGGCTTAATTAGTCTGTCATACAGACCCTCAAAACAAATATATCCAAGAAAGCCCATGCAAGTCTAGGGTATGTGGCAAGTCTAGATTTCAACAGTTTCCCTGTGAACTAAACCTTTCGATCAGATGACATGACTGTCTTAGTACTTCCAATTAAAGGTTTTCTCCTGTATGATACGACATCACTGTCACTTATAGTGCAGATAGAACCTTTGGATTTTGGGAAAATGTGAGTAACTTTATTGCCCTCAATATTGCTAAAAGTGGTGTAAAATTAAACTCACTCACTCACCCTATTCTTGTGTCAGTTCTTGTTGGTGTCTTTGATTAATGAATAGCTGATAAAAGTTTATTTATGCTTTGGTATCTCCTTGAACTTAAGCATACACCTGCTGATATTTATTACTCAATGATTCATGTGATATAAGTGAAGCAGTGGGATTCCTGGGTTCGATTCCCTTTTTTGGTAAGTTTTCCTGTGTGGCTTGCCAAATTGCTAGAAGTGAAGTGAAACCCAAAATATCGGATAAATACATGATTGAGTAAAGGATCTTGAACTAAACTTGTGTTTATTTACACAGAAAATCAGAGAAATGGAAGTTATTGACAACAAGAAGACTGCAGAGCTGAAACGTCTGATTGAGGAAGATGACAGAAATAAAGCTGTATCCAAAGGAATCCCGCAGCCATCTGTCTCCTGAAAGGGGAGAGAACTCTGACTCTCATGAACCCAGCCAGAAGCTGTAACGTTTTATTGATCACATGGAGAAGTCAAATCTCAGGCAAAATGTGGGAACAATCTTATCACTGTGATATCTGGACATGTTGATTCGGGGTGTGTAATCTGTCATGGTATTTTTTCTAACCAAACTAATAACTCATTGATGACAGACTAAAAATGTTTCCAATACACTGATCAGGTTATAATGGTGTCATGAAACTAGACAAGCGATATCATCACCGGCAAGCTACATTGCCGTTATATGCCAACATCAATACTGTTCTTCATACATTTACTTGATGCTCATGCTGTTGATCACTGGATTGTCTGGTTCAGACTCAATTATTTACAGGCCACTGTCATATAGCTGCTATATTGCTTAGAGTGGCGTTAAACAACAAACGAAATCAACCACTACCGACTTCTCTAACAGAAACAGAACATCCAATTGTGAGGAGTACTTAATATTGCTGCCTTCCACATTCTAATTTATGTAAAATATACTGACAGAGCCCAGTTTAGTCTTCAGTATTATTGGTTTGAAAGACAAAGAAGGATTTTATACCATTGCAAGTTAATTCAAGACTTCCACTTTCACTGTGTCTGTAGTTCTATAGCTTTTCATCGCGGCCAGTAAAAGATTCATTGTTATCCCAGCCTCACATTGTTACACATAAATTATTGTCAAGAACATTTTTTACTTGATTACCATACACATAATCCGTCCAAACATTCATCTTTCATGCGAATGGACAGCGTATTACAATGACCGAAAATCTGATGTTTAATTTTATGAATTATTTATTTTTATTATTATAATTAACAGGTGATTATTTTTATCTCCTAATGTATGCATTTACAATCACATTCCACCCTTGCTTGATTGTTATCATAAAAAGACCCATTGTTTTATCACTATTATATTATTTTTCACAATAATCTGTTTACGTGTATACTAAGTACTATGTATATTAAATATTTTTTTCAACTTTGTGTATCATCTTATTACTGCTTGGTGTCAATAATAGCCACCATATGTTCTTTCAACAGGGTCAAGTTAAATTGTCTGTCTAAACCGGCACCCCACGAGACCGAAATAATGCCGGATTAGACAGGGTGACGGATTAGATAGTGACGATCATTTTCCAACATGGCTGCCATTTACACTCGATAATCTCTCAATCTACTGTGCCGAGAGGTGTGTATTGAAATAAGGGACCAAAATTGTATGCCGGTTTTGACAGTGTGCTGGATTACACAGGTGCCGGTGTTGGCAGGTTTCACTGTAGTTTGTTGTCAGAAAGAATTAAAAGAACAGTGCTCACTGTGTTACGCGATAACAACTACAGGCAGCATTGTCAGGTTGCATTGACCCACTGCATTATCAAGGTTTCATCATTCGAAACTACTCGCCTCTTTCCATGACCTACAAGCTTGCCGGAATAACATGAGTAGTTACGAATGGGTTCTTCATGTCATTGGAACTTTGATTACCTCCAGTTTTGTTAAGTGACTTATGTTGTCAGAGGACAGATGCTGACCGCATTAATGATCTTTACAAAAGAAAGGATTATGGCTTTTGTGTACTTTAAAGTAGTTCCTAGCGCTTTACGTTTTTATGATGTATCAAACTGATAGCTGCCCGCCTTTCAGTCTGATAACTGTTGCACAATTTATGGAAAGTTTATACTTCTAGCTTTAAAGATATCACTTTTTTTGTTTTAAGCACATCAGCAAGATTAAAAATTCCATGGTTTTCTGTGAAAATAAAAGGTAAAAACCTTGTCACATCCTCCTTAACAGAAAAAATCATTCATTTACAGTAAGTGACTTTCGAAAAGGGGAAAGAACCTACAATGTTTATTGCTTTTTATTACACCAGATCTACATCAATGTGAGGCTGTCAACAGTTGGTTATAACACAGTTTATTGATGCCTCAAAAAGCAATGTCAATAAAATGCATAACATCATTCTATTCATTGTCTTTGATTGGGGACAGGAAGAATCTGCATTTTTCACTGCTATTTGAGCATTTTCAAGTCGGATTTGCAAATGAATTTGTGTTGGAAACACAGGGACTTGAAAAGCTAAAAACTGCCATCAAGGTATATACTGTCACTGACAGAGTCTTACAACCCCCGTCAGTGACAGTCATGACAAGAGATAAATTGGAATACTGTTCAAAATGATAGTACACTTACTCTTACATAAACATGCTTAATGTAAGTCTAGTGTCTAGAAGAGCAAGTATGTACAACTGACCATCATGGAATTTATGAACACAAAATTGGTCAAATCCTTGATTTATCTAATAAACCCACCATAATATTTCTGTGTTGGAAAAAACACAAATTACAATATCATTACACATTTTATTGTCAAAAAGAGCAAATATGTTAATATGTACAAATGATGTCAAACCAATGCTCTTATTTTATGCATTTTGCCAAGCAAAAAGGCAAGAAATATGACAGAAGTTTACACAATAGCACCATTACAGAGGAATAGTTACAACACAATATTATATATGTGCAGCTGCTGTCTTATGAACAAGCTTTTGTGAGTGTATAAGTGATATGCAAAATATGATCTCTAAAATATGACAACACTGACTAAATACTCCAACATTTGTCATTTGTTACATCTGGAAGTATGAAGTTATACAATTGGGTTACTTCATTCTCGCTGATGAATATGTTGAAGAATGTATTCAGCTTTGTCTTGTTTTAAATGTCATATATATTGAAGTGTACACTGAAAGTACAAGAACTTTTACATTGGATTTCCACTGCAGTATTGAGCAGAAGGAAGTTATAGCAGGCTGCCTCAGGCACACAGGTGTTCCAATGTACAGTGATAACACACTATAGACATATCATTGTTGATTATCATGACAAGATTGGGACATGTTAAAGTTCATGTGAAAACTATGGACATAAGAAATAGTTTTTTTCCTTTTGGTCCCTTTGTATTACGTCCCATAGATTCAGTTTGGAAGAATCCCTAAAGTAAATGTTACCCATTCATGGTGACATGCTTGAGAATGGTGGATTCATGCAAGGATCACAGTTGGGAGAATCTGAGATTTGGACACATTAACAGATCCTTTTACTACAAAGGGGCACAACTGTGCCCAGCAATGTGCAGCTCCTAAGACCATGTGTACCTCCCCTAATAATTCTAGATTTCTCCAAATCTAAATACATGAATTTGTAACCATTCTGATGAAAATAATATATAAGACAAATTTGTGTGAAGTGTTATGATGGTTTTTTGATTGCCACGTACATGCAATGTCATACGCCATATGATATGATATGGTGAAATATAAATGCTGGTTTATCAATTGAACGAATCAAATTGTAAATCAAACTTCTCATTTTGCCATTCTTCCATTTTTATGACAAACATATTCAAAAGTTGATGGGACCTTTTTTAAGTTTATGAATAATTTACTGAACATGATTCCTACTATGACTAGTTGATGTGAGACAGTTTGTTTTACTTCACAATGCATTATTGTACAAGTTATACAATTGTATCTATTACATAACTCAAAACTGCTTATTATTTATTTAACAACTGATTACAATTATTCTATGAAAATTGGGTTATAGCATAACAGTTTTAATACCATGTACACTTATGGTCAGCTATATTGCCACTGTATCACCTATATTTTCAATGTATCACTGCTGGCATTTACCCCGAGATACACCAGCGATAAACATCATCACAATGATGACTGCAGTGATATAATTAATTGTGGAAGGAACGTATCCGTGAATTATATTTTGCAATTGACACATAAAAATCTTCACACAACCGATATCAATACTGTCAATAGTGTAAAATTGAAGTAATCATAAATATTGCTCAAGGCATTTATTTTCTAAATACCCATATTTATCAATCCTGGAGAACCCAGAATGCACACCATGCCTGTACTTTGACAAAAAATATATAGAATATTTTGAACATTTCAGAACTTATTATTTATTTCACTTATCAGGATGCTATTACAAGGTAAATATCTCCACATCATGACTGTGTATTGTTAGAACTGATTTTCAACTAAAAACCATGTGTTAAGAAGATACCTATTGCAAATAAAATTGTTGCTTTAAGAAAATATATTATTCACTATCAACACTTCATAATGTTGATGAAAACTGCATCAAGTAATAAAATATACCATAAATCTATACCATTAGGGACTGTTCATAATTTATGGCTAGGGGTGGTGGTGATGGTTTTTATGGAGAAGCATGTACAATGTGAATTGAACCCTCCCCCCCCCCCCATTTATGTACAAAATAAGTGACCCCCCTGCAAGTCATGTACAAAATCAATGACCCCCTACCCTTCCCATAATTTCTAAGCATAAGTTTATGTACACAATTGCTGACACCCTAGCTCCACAAAATGGGTGACACCCCCAATTTTTTATCAACCCCAATACGTTATGAATGGTCCCTTAGCATTATCTCAAGGCACACTTCAAGCTTGTACAATGGAAAGCCGTTCTGTTTAATAGCATACCAACTTCAACAGATATTTGATTGTGTAATATTTTGATCTCTGCACTTGTAATATTCAAATCTATTTGATGGTCATCACATCTCACAGAGAAGGCAACGCTACTGTGATAAAGAAACAGTTTAAAGGACACATTTGAAAGACGAAAAGTTCAAAAATCAATTCTACTAGCTAATGTATGGATGTGCTAATTTGTACTGGAGACATGTTGATAAACTTATAGATTGTCTGGTTCAGCTTTTCCTATATTTGTTTTAAGATTCTGTTTTCTAAAACCAATGGCTGGTGTTTGAACAAGATTAGAAATAAGTTACAAAAAATATATGTTACTACATTAGTGGTCGTTAAAATCATGCGTGAAAGTTAATAATAAACAAACTAACTGAGAAAATGTGTTCAGATAGTGTTTCTTTTCTGGAGTCAAATATTTCCTTTCCAATATATGAGTAACATTTTGTTAGACTGGACTTTAATTTTTACAGTTATTGCACATTTTAATATCTTGGTTTAATCTATAATCAGAGTAGGCTAATAAAAAACATTTGAAAAAACTCAAACTATACATGCAAATTTAAAACAATACCACAAAAGTCTATGGAAATGCAAAGTACCTTATTTACATATTATAATTCAAAACATTGTCAGAATAACCATTTTCTTACAGATTGTCTTCCTACCAGACACTCCTGTGTAGCTGAAGTAAGATCATATTTCATAAGCAGTGATACAAATGAGTGACGTCAAGTTCATTTGATCATTAAATATGGAATTACTTCTACCACACAGATTTTTCTGAAAGAAAGTCAACGAAAATGGTACACCAGCAAAGTTTTGATAATTTATGACCTTACCTCAAATGATAAATATTAATCATACAGTTTCTAAGTAAACTACCATAGTCTTAATACATGAGAATAGCATATTATATATAACAGCACTATAAGGTTTAAGCACAGTAAAATGAGACATTTAGTTATTACATTAAAACCTTCATTATTTCAAACATACATTGTAGTTGAAATACAAAATACCTCTTACTGCATTTGTATACATATTTCTGAAAGGACAGTTTACTATTATGATATAAATACCTTTGTTCTGACTAGTCTCAAACAGGAGTGTTGGTGTTTTAATTACATAATAATGTTCTCTGTACATTATAAACTTCCGGACACATTAACACATTATCCTTATTATTTTAAACTTCTTGTATGTCATTAGGTGCAGTATTTACCTGTATTACAGATACAATATATATCAAAGGTAGGGCCAGAATAATTTCATTACTTGCTTTACAGAATTATAGCCTGGGAAAAAAAAATTATGAAAAGAAAAAACAACACCAACACAATGACTAAATGCTCAACTGGGTTTTTGGTGAAGACACGACTATCCATATTTGCTTCAGGTGAAGTCTTTGCTGGAGAATATTTGGGCATCAAAAAGTCAATATAAATTAATGAACACAATTATCCCATGGGATTTATTAATTCTTTTGTCGATTTGGCTAAAAGAGAAGTCTTTAAAGGAGTAACAAAATTACTCTGGCCTGATATACAGGGTTATCTCCCTTTTTGTCACTGACAACTACTTGACGACCCTCAAATCCAAATGGTGGTATAGTGTGTCATCCATGGTTGTTCTGCTTGATATTGGTCACTGACATGGAGTCAATGTTAGATCAAGGTGTGTATCAACATGTTTAAATACCTCAGAAATGTGCACCTATTGATAGATATACATCATCAAGAGTCAGGTTTCATGCTTCCCCTTGAAATATTGCAGCAATGTTACTGTGGACATGGATTGTAAACCACACAAAGTCTCCTGCTTGCAATCAACCCTTGGTGTTGACAAGCATCCCAATGGCTGGGACTTGGGTCTGATGCTGTATGTGATAACAATTAAACACTGTTGTCTTGGTCAGATTCAAGTATGGTTCTGGACACACTCTATTGCAGCTAAATAATGAATTAAGTATTTGTGTCTGACCAATGACAATCAGGCATGCCCAGTCTATTTGTCTGAGTTGAGACCTCCTTTAATGGTGTTCAATATGGAAGGGACACACTTGTGTGTGTGTACCACCAGGTGGGAGATACTGCCACATCAGTAATACAGAGTAAAACCACTGGACTTTGTTTTCTTCTCTTGATTCCCTTTGTGGGCCTTGGAAAATCCTGAAACAGATAAATAACAGTGTGCAAAACTTGAAAAACATTCACAACCATTTTCCCCTCCATAATGACTGAGGATATGAATAACAACATTTCATGGTCTTTGAGAGCAGCTTTGAACACTGAGCTTCTGTTCAAATCACATCATGGGAATAGAATTGTTAATATTTAAATGAAAATCTTTTATGTTTAGTGTAATTAATTCGGTCAATACAGCCTGATAAGCCACATATTGCAGATTGATGAAAGTTATGATGAAAGGTAATAATGTATACTCTCATAAAGTGAGACATGTTTTAAGGCATAATCCTGTGTTTTATAATGGCCATAGACATAGTTATATAGCCACTGAAGAGTAACCATTAGGTCCACATTTTGTAAGATGTTCAATCTGAAAAACAGAAATATGGTGGCAACTAACATGGGAAGTATCTGAGATTACACACCAATGTAGTAATCTGCCATATTTAGATGTGTTTAGTTTATATATGATTAGTTCTCATTATATGTACTTTGTCAACAACAGATACATTTGAGGAGCGAATATGTGAAAGATTTGTGCATAAAAATTAAAAATATATACATTGAAAATTAAAAACAGGCCACAGTGTCATGTACTTAAGCACATCCAAAGGTGGCCTCAGTTGCCAGTTACTCACCACAAGAATAATACAGTTGAGTATATACATGTTCCAAATTCCACTGTTTTAACTGATAACCCATTAACCTGTTGTTTTAAAAAACCCGTAAGATCCCTAAACATTGTCTCTCAATTCATCCCAGTATGTGACAGGCGAGAAACCTGATTGTCTGTGTGCTGTGAAACATTGAAAATAGCAGTAGAAGGGATCTTCCTCTAAGAAATGTGAATGTGCACAAAAAGAGGATGAAATAGATTAGAATTCTGTTAAAATCGACAATATTGGTTGGCTGTTGTACATGACTGAAATGACATGGGAAATGATTGCGTCTATTTTGTTCATATATACCAAATATTTGACCCCTCACTGCTATTATATATTACATTGATTGAGTGAGTATGGTTTTATGTCGCTTTAAGACAATATCAAGGTGGGGGCACCAGAAATTGGCTTCACACATTGTACCCATGTGGGGAATCGAACCTGGGTCTTCTGGGTGACAAGCTGACACTTTAACCATCAGCATTACATTGCAAGGATTACACGGACGGAACATATAATTAGTACACAAGCACACAGCAGCTATATTGCAATTGCAGCATTTCTCAAGCACACATTCAGCATGGTTACTTAAAATACATTCTTGTTTGAATCCTCGCTTGTAGCTTTGTCAATAATCATGTGAAATGATACAGCAGGATCATCACTGTTCACAGGTTTGAATACATCCATCCATCCCCTGTTAAAATGTTTGTCATCTGTGCTGTGGTGTAGCTGGCCTGGTTCAAAGAAAACCAGCTGCTGTTTAATCCAATGAGTGTATATTGTACAAATAGCGATGTTTCTGACTTAACATTAGTGTTGCGTCTTTGTGGTGTCAGATCGGCACATTGCTTCAGTACAAGAAGGGCTCATTTGTCTTTTATGTTTTAAAAACAGACTAATGTTTTTATTGAGACAAAAGACAGGCACATCTCCACTTGGGGCAAACATTTACAAGGTCACAATACGATGCATTTCTTGATTCATTTTGTGATATTTGACAAAATGTTGAGGGTGGGAGTGTCAAAGAGTAATTCATTGAACAAGTTGTTCGTCTTTTTCGTCAGCAAACAACATTGCATGAAAGCTAACAATGTACCAGCAGAGTAGTGTTTCGTTTCGCACCTAATCACCACATACTGACCCACTGTATTCACAGGTGACGGAGGAATTAAGTGTATACAAACCCATGATTTACTGACGATGCCACGACAAATGAAAAAGTCATACTACATAACAGTTCTGAAGGTGTCAAATACTGTACAGCATATTCACCACTAATTTTACTCCTTCAACCATGGCTTGTGAAGCCAAACACTTTTCTTACCTTCACTTGGAACTATAAGGCTTAAAAATTTTTAAATGTTGTGGTTCCGATTCCGAATTCTGGTGCCGACCCTACTTTTTTTTAAGCTGAATGATACCATTTTTTTTTTTCCAGCACCAACAGATATCTATCATTTTGATAGAGAAAGTTGATATGATGGCTGCAAGATTGATTTAATAAACAATTACACATTGATAAATGTGTTATTAGTTTGTACGTTACTTCTAAAAAAAATATGTAATGTTTTTTTAAATTCTGACCTACCTACCCTAAATTTTTAAGAGGTGTAATCGGAACCACAACATTTTTTCTATTTGGCCTCAAAAAGATTATATTCTCCTAAAAAATTCCAATGACCTTAAAACTTTCGTGACTTAAATATCATTATATAATATTACTAGTATATACAGCAAGCATTTGATTATAGAGTAAGTTAATATTTTATTTTTCATCATTGAAAGAATGATAAAACAAATTAGACATACACATGACATAAGTTTGAAAGAAGAACACCATCTTTGTGAAGATTAAAAGTTTTGTCTTGACATAAAATGAAAGAAATCAGAAATCAGAATGTCATGGACCCTAAGAGAGATAAGAAGTGAAGACAGAGAACGGTGCACCAAGAACTGACTAATACTAAAAACCTCACAAAACACATGTCAAATTTAAGTGAAACTGTGAAAACTATTCTGTAGGACAGATTTCTTTTGTAAATCTATGATGAATCATCACAAGAATGAGTTTGCAGTGTTGAAGAAGGCAACAAGACAGCGTTGTTGACAAACACGTAAGACCCAAACCCACCATGCTGCTATTAGCACAACTGTAACCATCATGCACTAGAAATACTACCTAAATCCACTGACGGCATATATGGGCACGTACGAATGCCCACCACCTCTGAATCCAACCTTGAACATAGCCTTGGCGCATGTGCCTTTGTCTGCTTCTCCGCACTTTAGACAAAACAGATATGTGAGATATGGTGGCCATTTTGAAAATGGGCGGGTCTTTGTCTTGTGTGAGTTGGTGTTATGCCATTTGCAACAGTATTTCAGTTATATCATGGCGAATCAGTTTTGGTGTGGCAGGAAAATCCAAATTGACAGAAGTTCCAGATCATCAGATCAACTGGCAGCTTAGAGATGCAATTCTGACAAGCAAGTTGCAGTGCAGGAAATAAGGACACCTACTGGAAGCTTGTGTTTATGGTGTTTTGTAACTACTATGTTATTTTGGTGCCTTCAAGGTATTCTTGAACTAAATCATGAACTAAACTCCTTGCTCTCATATAAATTCCGCCCTTTCCCATCTACTTGTGCAGTGAACTACAGAAGCTTGCATGTGATGTCATTGATGCAGAAATGAATCCTGATGCATCCTTGCAATTAATACTTTAAGTCAACAATACAATATGCCATAATCTACATTCTGTATCACTACATCCTTCCATAGCATGTAACTATCTGCATATCAAATGGTCTTCAAGGTTGAACTCACTGATATTCTGGCCGATATAATAGTTCCATAATGTATTGTTAAAAAACTCATTGAAATTCAATATATACAGATTTGGCAAAAATAGTATGCTTTTGTGTCCTAATTTGCATTTCAAAATTAGAAAAGGCTTCAAATGTTGTATCACAATATGTATTGTATAGTGACTTCAGTTATCGTTTCAGCTCGTGTATACTAGATGCTTCGTAATGGAAACGTTTCTGTAAATATCAAACACCAGTCTTGTCCCAATCAAAAGCTGAGTCCAACAAGCTCAATTTCCTTACTCCTATAAAGAAACATGTTTAAGTGAGAGTGAAGCAGTTTCATGCCTTGTTCATACTGCTATGTAAGTGTCTATGCCCGAACCTCACTCATCACACCGTCCTATACATAGCTTTACCTTTTGCTTCCAACATGATGGCAATATCTTTATCTTCTTCTTCATATCTGAAACCATTTAAGAAGATATTAGTCACCACTGTACCAATGTTCATTGTTACTTACGACTAGATAAACAAGAGTCATCAGAAGATGACATATCCCCCCAGCCCCCACATCTTTGAAAGAACAAATCATAAAGTCCAGCTTGATTTTAGACTAAGTGCAAATCGTTTCCATGGAAATCATGAAAAAAATAAATGACAAAAATCTGCAAATAGCAAAAAGCACCTCTTCAAGATCTGCCTCATATATCTGCCAAGTTTTGCTGAAAGATATTAAGAAGTTTTCGGGTTGTGCTCCGGAAACAAAACCTACCCCTCCCTTTTGAGACTAAATCCGAATCGTTTCCATGGAAACTGCGAAAAATAAAAATGCCAAAAAATCTGCAAATAGCAAAAGGCACCACTTCAAGTTCTGTTTGAAATATCTACCAAGTTTTGTTCAAAAATATTGAACGGCTCTTGAGTTATGCTCCGGAAACGAAGCCCCCCCCCCCCCCAGACTAAGTCCAAAACGTTTCTATGGAAACCGAGAAAGATAAAAATGACAAAAATCTGTAAATAGCAAAAGGCACCACCTTAGGTTCTGTTTGATATATCTACCAATTTTTGTTGAAAAATATTGAACGGTTTTTGAGTTATGGTCTGGAAATAAAATGATTACGGACGGACGAAGCGATGACCATATCACCCCGCATTATAAAAAGCGGAAAGTAAAAAATGTAATTTTCTGACTAAAATTGACATTTTATACTTATCCTGACTCATGCTTATTGCTTGTCTCCCTTTCCTTCCGAATGCTAGTGGAACACTTGAATCCCCTTTTGAAGCTCCCTTCAAAAAAGCGGACGTAAAATCACTTACCAGGAGTCACCTCCCTTGCCAGGTTTTGGCGGGAACGGCGCCACCCGTCTGCCATGCTCTTCACTCTCTCCCTATTATAACCCGACACACTGGTTTACTGGGAAATCCAGAGTGCCTTGAGGGGAGGTTGGGAGGGCTTACCTCATGAGTCAGGATAAGTATAAAATATCAATTTTAGTCAGAAAATTACATATTTTTCCTTATCCTGACTCATGCTTATTGCTTGTAGAATCTGACGGTATAGGTGGTGGGTCAAGCCACCTCTGGATTCCTTAGTGATGAATTTACATCCTATATACCCCCATGGGAACTTAAAATGGCACTGCTGCTGTTGATCCATATGTCGAAATAATTTGGTAATTTGGGGGGACCACAATATATCTCTTCTGTAACCGTACATGTGGATTTAAATAACTCTTGATGGTCGTATCAAGTGGAGTAGTGACCCTAACCATGTACAAGTAATTCCTTACTAGTACAGGGTCCAATATTCATGCTAGTCTCTTCTAGACGTGTACATGGACTATAAGCTCTATTCCTTGGAGTACGAGCTTTGCATGACATGCGGTAAAAGGGCGAGATACATCTCAGCGCCTTTGAGGGACCGTCAGCTGTTGAGCTACAACCAGAGGTCCAAACTGGTGGATACCGGAGACGTCCTCGGTAGCAAAGTCTCTGAGGTAGTGGTTAGCAAATACTGTCTCCGATTTCCAAAAACACCCTTCCATGATCGTGGATATTGAGCAGTTTCCATGTAGAGCGAGTGTAGATGCCAGTGCTCTAACTTTGTGCGGATTGGAGGCTCGAGGAGGCTCAAGTCCCGCTGCCTTGTAGGCTCGTAGTATGATTGCTCTCATCCAAACTGATATCGTAGTGCGTGAGATCTCTGTGGGTGTCTCCGACGATATGGGGATGAAAAGGCGTTTGAATTTTCGTCTCCTGGTTTTAGACTTCTGTAGATATATTTTCAGCGATCTGACTGGACATAGGGATAAATCTTGTATATCCTTTGGCCCAAGGATTGTAGATAATGCTGGGATGTGGGATTGTCTGTCCAGTTGACCTGGCAGTTGATTCTTAGCTATGAAATCCCACCTCAATCCTAGACGAACCGTGTTATGACGTGTGTCAAAACGTATCCGTTTAAAGTCCAGCCCATGTATTTCTGACATACGCGCCGCTGTAGCCAAGGTGGTCAGAAATAGCGTTTTCTGTGTAAGAAATTCGTAAGAAGTTGTTTCTAGTGGTTCTTACACATCACTGGTGAGATGTCGTAATACCACGTTGAGATCCCAAGCCGGCGCTTTAAATTTCATTTGTTGGTCTTCCAGTTTAAAAGAGCGTAGCAAGGCCAGTAACTCTGGCACCTGGGTCAGTTTCACTCCTGTCTTCATAGTGATAACTGAGCTGAGAGCCGCTAGGTATGTAGATAATGTCGAACCTTTTAATTTCCTCATTTGTCTGAGATGACAAAGATATTCCGCCACTTGAGGATGTGTTGCTTTCACTGCAGTGAAACCTTTCCTCGATGCATTTTTCTCAAAGCTTTGCCACTTGTCGGCATACAAGTTACCAGTAGATCTGCGTAAAGCTAGTGTAACTGCTTTCGCTGCTCTGGCGGAGTATCCTCTTTTCGACAAGCAATTCGTGATACGTTCCATACGTGTAGGTGGAACAATCTGGGATACTTGTGAACTTGCTTGGTGTGAGGATGAATTAGTAGGTTCGGCCAAACTGGAAGTTGTATTGTTGGTTTTCCGATTTCTTGTAAAAGAACGGGAAGCCACGTTCTTGCTGGCCAGTAAGGCGCGACCAAAATCAGTTGTAGATTGTTTGTCTGCCTGATTTTCTGTAATACCTGTGGTATTAACACTGGCGGAGGAGAACGCAGACGCTGCGTTTAGCCCTTCCCATGGGATGCTTAGAGCGTCTGTCGCCCATGCTTGCGGATCGGGGAGAGACGAATGTTGCCAGTTGATTGTTGAATCTCGTGGCGAATAGGTCTCACGAGTGGAGATCCTATCGTCTGTATGATGCATCTGAACGCCTTGTGGATGTAACATCCATTCTGTTGGGGATGGTTGATGTGGTCGAGATAGCGCATCTGCTATTACATTCCTGGCTCCCGGAATGTGACATGCTTTCACATAAATGTTGAGATTGGTTATTATGTTGAATAGTTGAAAGCTGAGGTCTAGAAGATTGCAAGATCTTGTTGATCCTTGTTTGTTTATGTAGAACGCCACTGTTGAGTTGTCCGTATGGATCATCAATTTTGCGTTCCTTAGTACTTTGGACCAATGTAGTAGGGCATTTACTATTGCTTTCATCTCGAGCATGTTGATATGCAGATTCATTTCTTGTTTCGACCATTTCCCGGCAACCACTTCTTTGTCGAGGTGTGCTCCCCAACCGTGCAGTGATGCGTCTGTGTAGAGATGGACGTTGCACCCCAGCTCTATTAAGTAGTTTCCGTCGCAAACATTTGACTTCTGAGTCCACCATAGTAGATATGGTTTTAGCCTGTCTGGTATTCCGAAGGGATCCAGACTGTGTAAGTGGGCATTCCACAAATCTCTGTAGTGGGCGCAGTTGTAGTCTTCCTCTGCGTGTCATGTCTTGAGCTGACGTGAGGAGACCTAATAGGCTCTGCCATTCTCGTAGTAGTAACAGAGAGAGTAGAACTTGAGAGATCATTTGTTGAATCTTGATCCAACAATCCTCTGGAACAAGAATGCGATTCTTCGTTGTTATAAGCCGTATTCCTAGGAATTGCAAGTCCTGAGTAGGCTGTAGTTCCAACTTGAGGAGATTTACTAGCCATCCTAGTTGAGTGAGAAGTCTGATGGTGAAGTTCAGTTGCAGTCTGAGTTGACTGGGATCTTGCTGAGCTTGAATCCGTCGTCTAGGTAGAGCGCACTCGTGAGACCTCGGCGATGTAGATATATATTGATGGGCTTTGTCACTCGAGTAAACAACCAGGGGGCCGACGATATTCCAAATGGCAGGACCTTCCATTGGAAATGACGTCCGTTGAACAGGAATCATAGATATTTCCTTGATTCCGGATGGATCGGGATGTGTAAGTATGCATCCTGTAAATCTATGCTGGCGAGATAGTCTAGCGGACGTATGAGCTGTCGTAGCTGTGGAAGATGTATCATCTTGAACTTTGCGGGTGGTAGGAGGTAATCTTTGTTGAATTTCCTCATGTTGTAAATGAGTCGGAACTTTTCTTTTGAATTTTTCTTTGGTACCAGAAAAATTGGGGAGTAGAAACCTGGTGTGACGCAGTGTTTTATCTCTTCTATTGTACTGGAACGGCTGGGGGTGGAAGACTCCAGTCGTTCAGAACCTGTATTTCATCGTCTGGAACTTCTGGCGCCTTGAAAGGGCCGACCTCTTCCGTAGTTACCTCTTGGAGCTGCGGATGGGCGACAAAAAGAATCCTTATTTCCTTTAGCGTTGCCTGATTTCTTATCCCTTGCTCTCTGGATGCCTGCAAACTTCGATTTGCCGGAATAACGTTGAGAGGTCTGACGTATTACACTGGCCAGTGTATCGATAGACTTGATCATCATTACTTCTCGGGAATCTTTAGCGACTTCATCAATTTCTCCTGCAAAAATGGATGGTGCTGACCAAAGGGCTCTGTAGAGTGTCTTGGTAAACTTCTCGCTCCAAGTACATGAAGATAACAGTCCTTGCCTTCTTGATAATGTTAAGCCTGCAGAAATGGATGATAGATGTTCAGACATGAACTGATGATCCTTTTTCTGTGTAAGTAGAGCTGAATAAATCATTCTATCTTCCTCTGAAGTTGAATTCTTAAACTTCGAGATGAGAGTCTCGTTGACAGCTCTTGACCTGGCTAGGCCGAAGAAGGTTCGTCTGGTTACTGTGTCTAACTGTGCCAGCTTTTAATCTTCTATCTTGTAAGCTTTAGTCCGAATGTCGTTGATGATCTTATAATTCTCATCTATCTCTGGGGCCTTCATGAAGGGTTCCATGTGGGGTAGAGAGAACTTCTTAGAGTTGAACGACGGAATACTCTGAGTCTGGTATTTAGTTGCCTTCTTGAAGGCTGTGCTGAGGTTGTCTGGAACGTCTAAGACTGGGTCGATAGGTGGCATCGTGAGTGAGTCTATATCATCATTCACCATCAAGTATGATAGTGCTTCGCTGGTCTCCTTAGGGGGTGATGCGAGTTCCAAACCGTTGGCCATCCATGACTTGATTTCCGAGTCGGAAAATATAATTCCGCCGTCATCTTCCTGCTCTGAGGATGGATGTCTTCTATTGTCGTCTGAACGAGGAGATCTGTAAGGTGATCTGTAAGACGATCTGTGTGGTGACCTGCGTGGCGATCTGTAAGGCGACCTGCGTGGTGACCTTCGTGGCGAACCATACGTTCGTGAATGTGTTCGTGACATCCTACGTGGGGACCTGCATGGAGATAGAGACGACCGTGCGTGCCTTCGCGCGAACCTGCGTGTTGGTTAACGGCTTTGTCGAGGGTTGGAGTCTTGTGAGGAATCTCTATGCCTTCGTACGGATGTTGATTCTCTTCTCCTTGGTAACGAACCGTTGCGTGCAGGTTCGTGACGAACGTCCGTATCTGACGTCGATGAAGATCTGCGTGGGTTCGGCGAAACGTCTGGTCCTTCCGTCGAACGTAGTTGGTGCGGAGTCCATGTTGGTATGGCTGCCAGGTATTCGTGCGAACGCTGTAGTCGAGCTGGAATCTTCCTGTATGCTTTGCAGGACGTTGGTTCCCAACAGACGTGGTGTGCTGCTCAGTTGACCTTCACTCGGGTTCGTCGCAGACGTCGGGTTCATCGCAGCTCTCTCGCGTGCGAACCGTTGATCCAACATCTGTTGGGTAAATTGCGCCCGGGTTGAAGGTCTGCGTTGTCTGTTGTACTGACGACGCATCTGAGATGGATGAGGCTTCTTCCGAAGGGCGTAGAACCTTCGTGCCGAACGTCTGCGTTGATAGGGTGACCTGCGTGGTCACTGTAGATAACGTCTTCGCCTTCTTCTTAGATGTGATCTCAGGGATGAGGATGGGCGGCTCATCGTAGACATCTATTTCTTCCAGCGGGACGATCTCAGTTGAAAAAGATCTTGTCTTCTGCGTTGCCCCCGTGTGGAGACTTCGCCAAAGTCTTAGCTGTAGCTGCCTTCTTCCTCTGGGAAGACGATGCCCTAGTCTTCTTAGACTGCGAAGAGGGTGTCTCAGATGTAGATGACCTCTTCCTCGAGCCAGCGTTGTCTAAGTCGGCAACCTTCTCTGTAGACGACCCCGGTAGACCACTGGAATGGTGTATCTCCAACTGCCGGTCCTCTGCAAGCTTAGCCGGTTTAGACATGTCGTGTAAATCTCGTCTGGACCTGTCCTTTGCACGTCTAGACAGATAATATGAATATTTGTAAAATGCAATATCAGACAGGTGAAAACACAACTGACAACGAGTGTCAGATAAACATATAGGCTTGCAATTAGGACATAGGTTATGCGGATCAACAGCAGACAAACGATACCTACAATTAGAACAAGATTTCATCAAATGTAAACAATGTGAATAATCACGTAAAAACGTGACAAAAACGGAGAAATTTGAGAATTAATTCTGTACAATATTGTAGGTAAATGTTAGCTAAAGCCTTATACAGCTAATTTAGAAGAAAAGCCTAAATAATAAAAGGATATAAAGCCGTATAGGGGACCAGGTGCTCTCACAACCGCCCACTCGGGCGAATCAGGAGAGAGTGAAGAGCATGGCAGACGGGTGGCGCCGTTCCCGCCAAAACCTTGCAAGGGAGGTGACTCCTGGTAAGTGATTTTACGTCCGCTTTTTTGAAGGGAGCTTCAAAAGGGGATTCAAGTGTTCCACTAGCATTCGGAAGGAAAGGGAGACAAGCAATAAGCATGAGTCAGGATAAGGAAAAATAGGTCAGATACTGTTCCTTTGAGCATTTTTCCAATGACGAACTGAAGAGTTACCTCCCTTTCTTTAATGAAAATATTTGGAATTGTGTTCACAAATACCTATATTTGTTCAGAGACAAAGAAGAAACAATGTTCGTTTTGAAACTTTGGATGCATGGATGTGTCCGCAGCTAAAATATAAACTCAATTTGGTTCAATCATACATCAAAACTGATTTGGAATTGGAAATACAATATACCTGATCCTGTCTTCATCGATACAGTCGACTATGCTGCTGCGGCGGTTGACAATATCCAGCTTCTTCTCTATAAGATCATCTACCCTCTTCTTCTGACTTTTAGTCTTCTCCAATTCTGGGGAAATATAAGTCTGTTAAATCCTGTTTCAGGCCTGATGGGCCAATCAGATCTCCAGGGTCACGATCCACAAAACGTTTGTCGCCCCACAACATTCTTAAGCCTGAGATAAGCTATAGAGTTACAACAGGTTGTAACTTTACGGATGCTTTGTGGATCAGGATCCTGGAGAAAATGTCAGTAACCTGTGTGAATGTCTGATCCTGCTGAATATAAGAGTTGAACTAAATCAGGATTGGGTTGTGTGCCCTTGTGTATCACCTTCACCTGACAGCAAGTGACCTCCTGTGGTCAAGGTCAAGGACTGGAGAGGTTTGTTGAGTGAGTGAGTGAGTTAAAATTTAAAGTCGCTTTGGCAATATTTCAGCCATATCGTGACTAAAACAACATATATATTAACAATAATTAAAGATAGAGTATAAAATCCTGTCAACGAAGGACAGTAAAATAACTAGAACATCACAGATATAAATGTAAGACTAGTAATTAAATCTAAAACATTTTAACTTTAGAGAACAACACAATATAAAAATAGGCTATAGATCACCAACAACTGAAGGTAGTTCACCATACTAGGGACCATGGGGACTTACAGTACCTTTGCTACCTGCATGGACCCTAGTTGGATTTACACCGAGAGCTTTGTTGGGTGTGGCAAGGAGGTGCAGGGTTTGTTTCAGAGTGTCCAGATTAGATTGTCTTGTTGGAAACAAGCTTTACTGTTAGTTACCTGGTATCGCCACAAGAAAATTCAGCATTTCATCGATGTCTTCCTGTTCATCCTCCAGATCCTGCTGTTTGGATCTGTCAATCATAACATTTATAGTATTAGATTAGGTCCATCATAAAAATGCTATGGAGCAGGAACTTGATATGTTCTTGTGTGGCTGCTGTTGAACTCTTTATGCAAACTCAGAACTTAACATTTGCTTGAATCTGCTTAGTGTGCCAACACAAGGGTGAGGTGAAGTGAAATGGGGTTTAACGTAGTACTTAAGAATATTTCGCTCATATGACGACGTGCATGTGTGTGTATGTGTGGCTACTTGTACTAGCCCAGACTTAAGCTGGTTTTATAGTGCTAGCTCACTGAGATACCATGCAGCAGTGAAGCATGAATACCCCACTCAGACACATTATACTGACTCCGAGCCGACCAGTCGATGTTGTACCCATTAATGCCGAGCGCCAGGCAGGGACCAACAAGTACCATATTTTAACGTCTTTTGGTATGACGCTGTGGGGATCGAACCCGTGACCTTGGGCTCTCCGGGTGAATGCTCTAACCACTACACCACGGAGGCGGTCCCCTCGACATGGGAGGGATGCAAGCCTTAAACATTTACCTCTCAGGTGAAACCCCCTTGCACCACAACTATTCATAATGAAGGATAAAGGTGATTCCCACCAAAGATCATTGGCGATGGTGAGAATTGGGCTTTATGCCTTTCTGGATAATTCCAGCAATAGTGACACCAGTAATGGTCGTCACACACTGCACCCATCAATCCAGGAGGGAATCAAATCCAACATCCACAGGGTGTCCCGACAACCATGGTACACCAGGTTCCTCAAGAGCCTGCTCAGACGTAACGGCCGCACACATACCACATTGTCCTTATGTCCCATTCTACCAGGTACGTTATGCTAACATAGAGTCACTAGGTTTAGGAGACAATCTTATGCAATTATTGGCAACATGATGATAGAAGAGAGCAAAATTGATCATTACAAACTGTGAATTCACAACCTATTTGGCAAAGTTAAAGGGCTATAAACCACATTCTAATGCTTGTCTGAGTTCCTGCTCGTATTTTCACAATATGTGTGTATATATATGACACATAATGACATATTCTGTGTCAATGGCAAACGTCACTACCAATTCCCCGCACTCACATGTATATAAGGTCAGCCTCTTTGCGAACCAGCTCGTTCTTGGAGTTGATGAGTTTGAACCATTCAATCATCATATCATCTTCCTCCTCTGTAGTATCCACTGAAAAACAAAATCAGATGCTAAACCTGAACCTGTGTCACACAGACATGTCACAGCTGTCAATCAAACCAAGAACTTGGAAACCGTCACGCAGAATACCACTCACTTGACACAACACACTTTTCGTATCCAAATATCCACAATATTTTTAGAGGCAATCATTCTGCGCTCATAAGTGTTATCTCCCTTTGTCTCCAACTGTATATGAAATAGCATATCAGTTTGCATACCAGGTATTTTATATCAGAAACGAAAACTGATTGTTTTCTTGGGTATCTGTGACATGAAGATGCTTTATGGTTTGACGCCATGACAGTGTTCATGTCTGTGGAAAGTCTTGGACTCTGTGTGACAGTCAATGTGCAACAGACAGTGTGATAATAACAGGGAGGATAAGGGGGTGAGACATAGCATCTCTAGATGCATCCAGATTAGCTTCAGATTATCTAGGTGTCACACTTGGGATTTCTGAAGACGAATATAGGAAGCTACATATTATACATTAATATAAAGATTCATCAACCATAAATATGTTATTTACAAGTTGAATTTTGGATAATTCTGTTAAGAAGCACGATAGGAAAGTTTTGGGAAAAAGGATTCAAGCCAATGAAATTATGTGGTTCTTAAGGTAATCCTTCAATACAGAGATATTGCTGCTCTTCTAATTATGTTTTTGCGAAAGTGCTATAGTAATGAGATCCATATATGACTAGATTGTTCACTGCAGGCACTATCAAGATATTCAGTTGTGAAACATGCAGAAAATGTAATACTGACAGTTTCTATCATGCATATACTCACTCACTCACTCATGGAAGGATATAACAAGATATACTTATATTCATACCAAAATAACAATTTAGTATCTAACATTACGCAGAAAGTAAGGTACTGTTACAACATATTTTCCATGCATACCAAGTATCTAGATATTTAGTGCCGAACTCAGCCACTGTCATAGAAACGATTATATGAGGTATATATTTCTGATATTTGCACCCAAATGTTTTTCTGGGTGCTCTCATAATGCCCAATCAAATCAATTCAAATACATGGTCCACACCCAGTTTAGACTTGTTAGGTGAATTTTGAAACTGGAGTTAGTGCCATTGATATGAATTGAAAGTACAGAAACCAGGTCTTGTTAAATGGCTGAAGAAAGTTCAGAAGGAAGGGAGATATATTTGATATCTTCACTGTGTGCAAATAATGTCTATAATCCTGTTTGTTTACATGCATGTATACATACATCATAAAACATGGTAATAAAATCAAATAAAACAGTTTTCTAACAAATTTAAAATATTACGGTTTAAATCATGGCATACATGAATGATTGCACAAAATAAATTCACTTCCTCTTCAGCTTTAATCACACATTAAAATACATGTAAATTGCAAACAGATTAACAACACTGTCAAGGCATGTTTCTTAAAACTACAAGAACATTCACACTACTGACAAAGCAAAAAACAAACTACATAACTATTCGACACAATAAGTTAAGAGAGTCGTCACCAGACAAAAGGCCTGTGTAAAATGCAAAACTGAAGAAACCATTACAAAGTATTCCTTGGATTCCAACCGAAGAATCTGGCCATTGAAGGAAAAAAATGTCACGCACAGGATGAGGTGGGATTATTTCCTGGGGGAGGTTAAATGAAGCATTGTACAGAAAAACATAAAAATTGAAATAAATAAACAATTGGCAGTATTTTGCATGATTGTCAGTTTGTTTTGATTTTGACGATGAAATGAAATGAGGTTCTCGGAGACACATGATGACACATGGGATGACACTGATGACACGGGATGACATAGATGACATGGGATGACACATGACAACATGATGATGAGGATACTGACGATACAAAGGGAGGTAATAACCTTGTCACCAGGTCTGAAGTACCCCAGTGCTGTACACGGTCATGCCATTACACTACCGGAAACACAACATAAAAAGCAACTGATGAAAATGGTTACCCCAGGAAAATCAACTTATTCTCCTTCTTGCCTCTCTGATCTGAAAGGTTAGAATAGCACATGAAATTCATTAGCGTAACAGGCGTGTTAGGCAAGGAGCTTCAGATGAGATTTTCATGCATGTTGATCTGCATCTCCCAGCGTGATGAGTGTTTAATGGATGATCACATGACTGGCACGAGGCATTCATAACAAACACCAACCAACGTACAGCAGAATGCTGAGAAATTCACAGGTAAAAGAAAAGAAAAAGAAACAGTGAAAAAGATGTAAAAAAATACAGGCGGAAAGACAAAAACAATTCAAAAAGTTAAACTATCTACTATGAATTGATAAAAAAAACCCAGCATTTTTTTGTTTATCCTCATACAAAGAAAAATCCTATTTTGCATTTGCCCAAAAAATGTTGTTTGTAAAAATGATACTTCAGGAATTTTTAAATACCAAACCATTGAGACTTTAAAATAAATTGTAATGACATTAAGCAATTTTTCATCAGGTGTCAAAAGGTTGAATTACCAAGAATTATTCTTCATATTTAAAATACATGTGAATTTGTCTGCTGTAAGTTAATCAGAATGAACAAATAATAGAATAACTCTTGAATATACAAACAATTAAAGCATACAGCTTTGATTATAAGTTTAACATGTTAAAGAACTGCAGTTGGCATTCTCAAACAATGGTGTATCTACTGAGTGGTTAGTGATTGGCTAGTGGTTGGCTACGGCAGGTGATACATGAAGACTAGGTGTTATAGACTATGGTACAATTGCTAAATAACCTACCATGTTATGCAAGGCAATGGTGATCTCTTTAAACAAACTTGGTGTTATCAGAATTCAAACAAAGTCAATTAATCTAACTTGATTACAATCGTGCTGTCGTGAAATAAAAACATCAAAATATCTTACAAAACTAGATTTATTTTGTTGAATTAATAAATAAAATCATGCTGTTGTGAAACAGAACAATTCATCTTACAAAACAAATTTAATATTTTTTGAATGAATACATATCATGAGTTTGCACTTGTGCAATTATGATAGATGCATATCTAAATATATTCACTGAAACCCAATATCCTTATATTTAACCTATAAGGCAATATTTAATAATCACAAATACGCATTTAATCCTATTTTGCTGATAATGTAGCCAAGGTGAAGCTAAAGGCAATAAGATGATAGAGTTATTAGTCTTAACAGTACGCACAATCAACACTGGAACAATGGTCAACACTCAACATGGGAGAAATAACAATGACGGATGTAAAACTGGGACGGCAATGTTCGGGTTACTATGGCGATATTTACCATTTCGGATTGAGTCCTCCAAATCTCGTCCTCTCATTTCCAGGTTATTCAGTTTCTTGTCAATGTCATCAAGCTGACGCTGGATTATGGCAGGAGACATTCGGCCTGGACTGACGGTCTGAGGACATTTTTAAGAGAAGACTATTTACTGGTAGATGGCAACATAACAAATACCAAATCAATGATTATTTTATGTTAAGGTCAGCGAAATATAGAGATGTAAAAATAGAGACTGCATGTAATTAATAACGAAGAATGACCGAAAGCAGTTTTGAAAATTAAAGGCAATACTTTTATCATTTATGGTTTGCAGACTTCTGTTGTTGCAGAAAAATAATCAAGAAATTCTTGTTGCCCAATAGTTTAGCATTCTATCTGGCATAAAATTGTCAATTTAGTGATGGAAAACATGCATAAACTGTTTGAAGTGTTTAATATTTTTACTGTGTCTTTACTTTTGAGGAGCCAAAGTTCATCAGTGATGGTGAGTACAGACAAATACAAAAACATAAATCAACTTATTTAATTCTATTCTGGAATTTGATTTTGAATCTGGTGTGTCAATTCCTAGCCTGAGGAATAGAAAAAATGTTGGACCATTGGATTCATGATATATACTACCCATCAAAAGTTTAGACTCACTTAAAGCACTCACTATATGTTATGCATATATATGTGGTTACATTGAAGATGAATTTCACCACTAACTTGAGGGAACAAACTGCAAACTTTATGCAGATGAATTGCACGAGGATCATGCATCAAATTGCTGAAAAGCATGTGCAAATATTGTGCATGTGAACAGCTGTGTTTTGGTGTAAAGTTTTGTTAAGAATTTGCCAATTTTCACTGTTTTGTATCAACTACTGAACTCATGACAATAATCTTTTCAACGTTATGAATTTGTTTTACAATACATCAGTTCATGTGTAAACAGTACCATTTAACAGTATGGAATATTTTGCAAAATGTAGTTTAGAACAGTTGCCTGAAGTAAGTAGCTATATTTACACTAGTGAGTCTAAACTTTTGATGGGAAGTATAGTTTATAACCCTAAGTCATTGAAAATCAGATCAAAGTGATTTTCAACAGTTTTTACCTTAGAAGGACTTCCCTTTGGTGCTGGGGGACGTTGAGGTGGAGTCTTCACTGGTGATGGCGGCTCCTTGTTCTCCTCCATGGAGTTCAACTCAAACCCTGGTCCAATTGAGATCTTTTTGAGCTGTCTGACAGGGGCTTTGGGACTAGGGGGAGGACTCGCTGCTTTGGGTGAAATCTTTAGCCTTGGCGGTCGTATGGGAGTGTCACCTATTAGGTTGGATGTCCTCGGCTTCTTCTGAGGAGCTGTTTGTGCTGGTTTAGAGTCAGCTGAATCTGAATTTACAGCCTTGCCTTTTTCTGGATCAATGAATGCTTGCTTATTGTGAGCCAATCGTCTCTGTGCTTCCAGTTGCCATGAAGGCTTCTCTGTGGAATCATCCAATATACTTGCTGACTTTGCTCTTTCTTTAACACCTGGGGAGCCTTGCTCATCTTTAGGCTTTAGTCTCAATTCCACTTGATCAGATTTGCCCTGTTTCTTAGAGGCAGACTCTTCTAACAAAACATCAACTGACTTTGGCCTTGCCTTTTCAGCTTTTCGTTTCTCTAAAGCCTTCATCCATTGAGGTGTGTCATCATCAGCAACAGGCTCAGACTTGTGTGTTGTGTTACTGTCCAGCAGCTGATCTGATTTATGCTGACCTTTATCTTGCATTCTCTGTTTCCATGCCGGAACTTGGTCTGATGCTTCCAGCTTTGACTTCTGTTCTGACTTGCTATCCTGCAGCAGATCAGATCCTCTTGTCTTTGAATGATCAGTTGTTTTCCAAGATCGTATATTATCAGAGTTTTTGCTTGGAACATTACTGTCCAGCAGCAAATTGTTCCCGTTTGATTTCTGATCCTTCAAACCTGTATCCTTCTTCCAACTTGGCACACTCTCCTCTTGTTTTGACTTACTTGTGTCCTTACTTTTTACCTTCTCAGCACCAGTTGTCAAATTTACACCAGAAGATATTGCACTTGTTTTGCTTGAAGAAGAGTCTGTGACTTTAGAAGTCTGTTCACCTTTTAATATTATGCTGTCACTCTCCTTTTTGTCATCCTTTTTGAAAATTCCTATTTTATCCGACACAAATGAAAAAGGGGACTTACTTTTCTTGTCCCTAGCAGTTTCCTTCTTCTTGGACACATCAGCCACAACTTTTGTTTTTGCAACACTCAATTCAACTTTAGATTTTGGAAGAGCAGATTCACTCTTTGGTCTATTTGAAGTTGTCTCCGTCCTCAACTCTGTAGTTGACTTAGCAACAGAGGGCATGTTATGTGATGATTTGTCTGTTGGTGATGTCACATCGTCTGTTTTACTTTGTCGAACATTAGCTAGACTTGCTAACAGTCCACCTAAAACCCTCTTTTCCTGAACCGGGTTCTTCTCAGTGGGGCTGACTAACACCGCAACTGGTTCAGACCCTGGTCTTGGATGCGAGGCTTTATGTAACGCCTCGTCCACATCCATCGGGCTCTCAGATCTACCATCGGCTCCGTATAACCTGGGGGGTTTAAGAGGTGCTACACTGGTTGAGGTCGTGACACTTACAGCGGTGGTGGTGGTGCCTTTCAAAACATTAGTCGTGGTGCTCTTTGGAGCATTGGTTGTGGTGGTGGTTTTGAGGATGCCCACCTTGTTTGTTGGTTTGGTGGAGGAGGTGGTGGTAGTGGTGGATAGGTTGACTGTACTGTGAGTTGATTTATAGGAGGATGGGGGCATGGATGAGGGGATGGGTGGAGCAGCCTCTGTATGTGGGGTGTACTTTGTGGCGAGTGCAGTGGGGGTTGTGACGTTGGGAGGGGAGGAGGGGGAGAGTCGGGTGTGGTCACCTTATCTTTGGCATGAGATTTATCATTGGATAACAACAACTTTTTCCCAAACAATGGTGATTTGTGTTTCACCTGGTCAGGTTTGTGGGACTTATCATTCTTTTTATCAAATGTCTTCTTAACAGGTGTTGGAGACACATGTTTTAATTTTGCTCCAAAAGGTTCAGATGTGTCCATTTTTTCAACTTTTGTAGTTTCCTTAAGGCCTAAATTCCTTGACTTTGGCACAGGAAAGGCTGCCTTACTACTTGTCTCTGTGGGCTTAGAAGGTTCCGTTTTAGAGGAAAGGAACCCTGACTTTGTTTCTTTGGGTTTTGATTCTTCAGCCTTTGTATTTGATTCTTTATTCTTTGAAAGAAAACCAAATTCATGTTTGTCAAACTTCTTTGCATTGAATGTTGGTGTGGGAGGCTCGGCTTTCTTACTATCATCAGGCTCTTTTGCGGCCGTTTGTAAAATGAGAGGACGATTTTGCTTATACTTCGGAACATCACTTTCTTTCTTGTCGACTTCCATCCTGCTTTTCAGCCGCTCCAACAATGGATCAGGTTTTGATGATGAACTTCCAGCTGCAGCTGTTGGCTGTGATCTTGCATCAGATGAAAACAAGGACTTACTTGGATCACTTTTACTGTTCTGCGACGGTTCCACATGCTTCAGTCCATTTGACTTCACCCACGATGGATTCTCATCAGTTTTACGCACCTTCGCTTTACTGGCAAAGTCGTCTGAAGGTGAGGTAAGAGATGATTTAAAAACCTTGGCAGTCGGGGATAGCTCACTATGGCGGAAACAGGATCTGTGGTACAGTTTGCCATTTTCAATCTGTCGTTCCAACAAATAAACTTTGTTGTTGCAGATCACACATTTATCTCCTAGAGTACTGGTCTTCTTGGTGTCATCGCTTTTCTTTGATGCTGCCTGGATGTAAAATATTACCAAGAAATCAGAACAATACAACAACATAGGATACATGTTCCCGAGAACACGGAATATGGTTTTACGCTGCTTTTAGCAATATTCCAGCAATATCACGGCATGGGCACACAAGAAATGGGATTCACACATTGTACCCATGTGGGGACTCGAACCCGAGTGTTGACGAGCGAACGCTTTAACCATTAGGCTACCCCACCGCCCCGTTTCTGAGAACAAGTATTGGTATTCAAACTACTGCTTTTATAGTGCTGAAGTGATTGCAACTCCCCTACTTTTTAACATACGCTTACGACTGTCGTAGCACTACATTTGTTTTGTGGAACAGGGCCCTGAATATTAACCTGTATTTTACAGTTGAACCCTGCTAGTTTGTGGAACAGGGCCCTGAATATTAACCTGTATTTTACAGTTGAACCCTGCTAGTGTGAAAAAACAACAACCCTACTTTCTGGAATATTAACATGTATTATCAGGGATGGCAACATTAATATCTAGTTTCAGCTGAAAACTTCATACTGTGTCTTTGAATAGGGGGTTTAGATGGATCAATGGATTTAAATGATTCACAGAATTGATCAATGGATTTAAATGATTCACAGAATTGATCAATTTGAAATAAAATCGTCGGATCAGCGGAAAATTGCCATCCCTGTATCATACATTGAAACCCTGTTAGTCTGAAATAAAACCTTTCCAGAATATTAGCCAGAAGACAATAGCAAGAATGAAACGAGGTCCCTGACAGAGTAGGTTATCACAAGAAGCGAGTACATGGATTGGGTGGTAGAGGGTAGAGACACGGTTGTTACTGTATTCCAGTTCTATGGATTGATGCTCATGATATCAGCTGCTGGACTGTTTGGTCCACACATGATGATTATTTTCAGGTTATGTCATTTGTGGAATATTGCTGAAGGCAGCAGTAAACAAGAAACAAACAAACAAATTTGGAACATAAATGTTGTGACAGTGCACTTATGTTAGAGTTATTCATGCAACAAAGACATTATCCTATTACAGAGAGTTTTGTATTAGACAGAGACAGTGTGTGAAATAGTTTCCAAATTTTGCTAGTCAGTCGGGCTAGCAATGCCAGAAAGTTACTAGCCCACAAAATAATTCACTAGCCTGAAATTTCACGTAGACACAGGTTTTGTCATTAAGATGCTAATATGATGAACAGTTTTATCAGGCCATAATCTTGCATGATTTAAAAGTGTATTATAACCTAACAAGTCGGAAAGAGTGATATATTTACGAAATGACCCCATGAAAATACACTAGCCAGTTGGGCCAGTGACTGTGGATATTTACTGGCTAAACTGGATTTTTACTAGCCACAGGCTAGCTGGCCAGTGGCTATTTTGCACACTGGACAGAGATATTGAAGGGATACTACTGTGTACCCATGATTTCACTTGCAAGTGTACCATCTGGAATAATGAGTTTCAATATATGAAAGAACAGGTTTCACTATCCGAAAGAATGAGTTTCACTGTAGACATTTCAGAGATAAATGTGAAATGGCATTTCCTAACAACAAGAACATTTTATTCATGCTTAGTTTGAAACAAGGAAAAACATTTTCAACCACATTTTCATATTTGCCACAGTACTTACGGATTCCACATTCCTATCATTGGCTGGAGCAAACCGCTTGATTTCTGGCCCAGTGACTGGTTGAACAGCAGGGGATCTCTTGTGTGAACTGCTTGACGTCTGCTTGGCTGTCACACCTGGTCCACCTACTGATAGGGCAGAAAATGGTGATGTTAGTAGCTGCTGTTGATGTCACTGTTCCAGCGTCATTAATAGTCTGTTTCTATTAAGAACTTGGTCAACCAACAAGGGGTTGGCATTTTATAGAAAAGAGGACAGTCTACATTTTCTTTCAGGAAAAGTTAGCATATGAAGACACATTGCTGTCATTGACTTAAAATACACTTAAATATTACTGTTCACTACACTGCATGCACTGTTCCAAATCTTTGAAATCATGACAAAAGGTTTTGGGAGTTTAATTTGTCATATATTGTACAAGATATCAAAATGGTTTCTGTATATGTAAAATACATTGCTGCCTGTGCATATCTTTATCTCATTCAGTATCTTTCAATCTTCGCCCAATAATTCCTATGCTGTCTAGGACTATGTGTAAGTATCTTACTCTGCGGAGCATCCTTGAAGAAGTTGTAGTACTGGGACACGTAGGTGACAACGCTCAGCTTGTCTGGAACACGGATGTCAACCATGTCCTGCGCTTCCAACAATGCCGGGATCCCCAACTCACGCTCCGCAACCTCAAATGCCTGAAACATCAACAACAACATGTCTGACAGCCTTCTGAGTGAGTGAGAGAGAGTGAGTGAGCGAGTGAGAAAGCATGTGAGTGGTTGGGCAAGTGGCTGAGTGAGCTGTAATTGAATGAGTGAGTGAGTTTAGTTTTACACCACACTCCAGCAATATTCCAGCTATATGGTGGCGGTCTGTAAATAATCGAGTCTGGACCAGACAGTCCAGTGATCAACAGCATGAGTGAGTGGGTGAGCAAGCAGGTGAGTGACTGGGTGAGCTAGTAGGTGAGCGAGCAGGTGAGTCACTGGGTGCAGGTGAGCAAGCAAGCAAGTTGTGGGTGAGCAAGGTGAGTGTGAGTGAGTAGGTGAGTGAGTGGGCAAGCAAGTAGGTGAGCGAGCCGGTGAGTGAGTGGGTGAGCGAGTAGGTGAGTGAGCAGGTGAGTGAGTGGGTGAGCGAGCAGGTGAGTGAGTGTGTGAGTGGGTGAGTGAGCAGGTGAGTGACTGGGTGAGCAAGTAGGTGAGTGGGTAGGCGAGTGAGTGAGTGAGTGGGTGGGTGAATTTTGGGGCAAACGATCCAAAAAACCCAAAACCACTTAAATGGAGGTATATAACAAATTTCTTGCAGTTTGTTATGACCATGTTTTGCGGAGTATCTTGACTGCACAAGTAAAACTTTATCATTTCTCTCCAAACCCAACTTGACGTCAACTTTTAAAGTTGAAACATGGCGACACCAAGAGTCAGCAGTATGTAATAATTGAAATGTTTATACAATAGTGTTCTCTGAATAATTCTCTTGTACTACCTTGACGGAGCAGATTGGAACATTTACTGACTGAGGCCTAAAATAAACACTAATGTCACATAACATTCACTTGCAATCTGAACAAATCACACACTGAACCTCCACTACCACGGAAACCTATATGGTTTGACATTAAAGTTGAAAACAGCTTTTTGCAAAACCCCAAACAAGATATCACATCACTTTTCTCTGGAACACCTGCATAGAATAAAATCTATGCACCAGTATCTATTTACTTATATCCCCTGGCCTCACACCAGGAAGTTGGTTGATAAACATGTTTTGGTCACTGCCCTGGTTTCTGTGTGACCTTGGGCAGGTAATAAATTAGTGCCATTCTGACCTTCACATTTCCCTCACAGGTAATTAATACTCTGCAACCATTAGTATATCAATTAATGAATCATTAATACATTATTAATTATTAATGAATTTAACAGCACAATGTTGAATAAAAAGACGATTTTAGGTAAAGGTCTCATTGTTCTAAAATTCGCTGTCAATCTGTAATGATCCCTGTTATGCAATTTGTAACATGCAAATATACATTATTAATATTCATAAAAAATAAAGTTGATTCAGATCTGAATATTTACATAATCAAAGTGAATATTTGCAGCTTAAAGCTTATTATCAACTAAGACACACACACAGGAAACTCAGGAGGGCCAATATGTGGATGGCAACATGCACAGTATTAGATTTACATCCCTACTATACACCCTTCATTCTAATGTCACGATTAGTGCTATCTTGGTGTAGCTTGGTGACAATAGACTTTGCTCATCACCCTAAAGATTGTGGTTTGGGACCAACATGGGCACAATGTCAGAAGCCCATTTCGGGTCTCTCCTGTTACAATATTCGAGAATATAGCTAGAATTATCATAAAACCTCACTTACTTCCTTAATTAATAAACCATGCTATATATACTGAGTGAAAATGCTGAGGGATCAAATATATTTTACTGGAAGCAAGAGTCCACAATTTTTATGAAACATCCCAAATATTCATAGTCGCTAATTTGTTTTGTTCAGTATATGTAGTCAAACCAAACACCCAAGCTCCACGTGAAGAAAATCTGTCTACGGTTAATATACAAAACAAAAATTTCTCCAACCTTACATTTCTGAAAATATGGACCAAATTTATGAATATATATGCATCAAAGTTTTCCGTCTTACATTTTTTTCAACATTTTCATCATATTTCTCAACTAATTCAATCAAACAAAATTTCTCCTGCCTTTTTTCTGAAAATATGGACAAAATTTATGAATAAACATGTAACACAGTTTTCCGTCTTACAGTTTTTTGATCAACATATTCACCACATTTCTCAACTAGTTCAGTCAATAAAGAAACCAAGTTCAGACTTAAAAATCACTAAGTTCAGTTTGACTGTCTGCCTCTTTTAGCTGCTATATATCCTAAATACAGCCCGAGTCTCAATACAATGTTTGTGTGCTTGACCGCAGATTGGTGTCTATATGTGGAACAAAATCAATAGTGCACTTGTGCACAGATGGTAGATAAAATCCCGATCTGACTGTACATTGTATGCTGTGCTGTTTTTCACCACATATGTACATATCTAAGTGGATTGTTCCATGCATTTTGTGGGATAAGCAGTAAATCCATCTTTGATATCAAATATATAATAATGACATTGCTCTGATTTTGTGTTCATATATAATGTTCATATATAACATATTGTCCACAGCATGTATATTGTTTGTGGGATTTGAATGATGGATATCTTCAATATCACATGTATAATAATGGACTATTTAAGTTTCACAACATTGTGTTATTTTGTGTTACAACATAATACATGCATGTTCATATATAACATATTGTCCACAGCATGTATATTGTTTGTGGGATTTGAATGATGGACATCTTCAATATCACATATATAATAATGGATGTAAATGATAGATATCATCATTGACTATTTAAGTTTCACAACATTGTGTTATTTTGTGTTACAACATAATACATGCATGTTCATATATAACATATTGTCCACAGCATGTATATTGTATGTGGGATGTAAATGATGGATATCATCAATATCACATATATAATATTGGACTATTTATTTAAATGATTCACAACATTGTGTTATTTTGTGTTACAGCATAATACATGCATCATGAATCGATACAAAAATGATACCTTACAAGGTTTGATAACATTTGTATCTTACTGCACTAAGTTGACTGATAGCAATGTAGACATTCTCTGTCAATTCAATCTGAGGAATTTCCTCTCTGTTTCCGGTTGCTGATGATATCTCCACCACAAGATATCTCAGATATCTAAACTGACTTGTGGACCTGACGTGACATTACCTACATACTGCAACATTACTGTAACAAATCAGCCATTGTTTAATAGGTATTACCCAGGTGGATTGTGCAGCTTCAGCATTAATTCCAATTAATAAAGGAAAAGGCCCATTAGAAGCAATAGACACAAAGAAAATTAAGTCAATTTTTAAATTGGAACTACAAACTTATGTTGACCATTACTCTCAGCATGGTGTTTCAGGGTGCTTGTAGGAGTTACGAGTGAGTATGTTTTTATGCCAGTTTTAGCAATATTCCAGCAATATCACAGCAGGGGACAACAGAAATGGGCTTCCCACATTGTACCCTTGTGGAGAATCTAACCTGGGTCTTCAGCGTGACGGGTGCTTGTTTTATATAATTTATATTAATTCTGTATTAAACTATTTGAGCTTAAATTACATTCATACATCATTAATTTGCCATTTCAATTACATAGTAACCAGAGATATACAAATCAACCACTTCATTTCGACAAGACTGTTGTTGGCTTGTTTTCTTACATGAACTCAGGCTTGCTGAGCTCCAAATTCATGAAAAGGAAGGTCTGCTCCCATTGCAAGATTCACCGTCTTTATCCATAGTATGTTTTGATTAAAGTGAGCGAGTCAGTGAATTTGGTTTTAAGCCACTTTAGCAATATTCCAGCAATATCACGGCGGGGGACACCAGAAATGGGTTTCACACATTGTACCCATGTGGGGAATCGAACCCGGGCCTTCGGCGTGACGAGTGAACGCTTTAACTACTAGGCTACCCCACCGCCCCTGTTTTGATTAAAATGTCATTTGCATCTTTAAACATTTGGCACCACAACTATGTTGTTGATTTTCTGACCCATGTTGGAAAAAAATGACAGTTAAATTATATTATGACATAAGCCAATCAACAGTTTTGTATCAGTATCAATAGCAACAGCAATGCTGTATTCTACAATGAACACTATCCTAAACATAAGCTCTTCTAGGTGACCTTACTATGACCTGTTCAGGGGACGATTAACTCTGCATCCGACAAATATTGACCCAGTCGCTGCAACGTGGTGTCCGGATGCTATATAGACACATAGACTTCAATCTTCGGACTGTCTGGGGGTGTGAGTGTGTTGAATATATCTGCATCTTTTATGCTTTGCATTTGAAGTTTGGCGGAGTAAGAGTGATATGTAAAAGGAATTTGGTTTCACGATCATGCTTTGGTCTCTTGCTGACCATGATAGGTGACTGAGTGAAACTGGACCACTAAGACCGACGAGCATGTATGTGGGGCTGACACACCTACAGTCAAGGTGAACCAGGATTAAATCCATTATCACTGGACCCGTGAAGGTCTGAGTTAGAATGTGCCTTCAGTAACCCATGCTTGCCGTAAGAGGCAACAAACGGGATCGGGTGGTCAGGCTTGCTGACTTGGTTGACACATGTCATCGGTTTCCAACTGCGCAGATCGATGCTCATGCTGTTGATCACTGGATTGTGTGGTCCAGACTCGATTATTTACAGACTGACGCCATATAGCTGGAATATTGCTGAGTGCGCCATAAAACAAAATTCACTCACTCACTCCATTACCACTGGTTTTAGTTTGCCCAAGGGATGCAACTGCACAGCAAATATCAACCCCTTGCCGAGTAAGTACATGCGTGAGTGAGTGCATGTATGAGTGAGTGCACGAGTGAGTTAGTGGAAAGTCAAAGATGAGTCATAAGTTGGTGTCTGTTGCTGAAACACTGGGATTTTCTTTATTGGGAGGATTTTGAAACAGAGAACAGCAGATTCTGACAGGAAATAGCTAAAACTTTTAAATGAAAACATAAGGACAAATAAGATCACGACATAATCATTTCCTCAATCTGTGCAACTGCACTACGAAGTCTGGCAAATAAGGAAAGTATTTGTTCTACTCACCAGATCATTGTTCTCGAAGATATTTTCCTTGGACAGGGAATCATAGTCACTGCAAAAACAAAGACAAATCTTTAAACCTGGGACACAGGTGGAATCATTTGTATAAAAACTTGAGTGAGTGAGTGAGTCTAGTTTTACGCCGCACTCAGCAATATTTCAGATATATGGCGGCGGTCTGTAAATAATCAAGTCTGGACCACACAATCCAGTGATCAACAGCATGAGCATCGATCTGCGCAATTGGGAACCGATGACATGTGTCAACCAAGTCAGATAGCCTGACCACTCGATCCCGTTAGTCGCCTTTTACGACAAGCATGGGTTACTGAAGATCAATATTCTAACCCTGACCTTCACGGGTAATAAAAACTTATTTATCAGTTTAGCCGAAACTGTTTGTTGTATGGTGGCATGCAAGCTTGATGTGCTGGGCAGTAAGATGTTTATAAGTATCAGGCATGAGTTATTACATGTTCAGCAAATAATACATAGGTTTCTGACATACCTAAGGGACACAACTCTGTACAGAGAACTGTGTCAAGTAAGACAACTGGGCCATCAATGACATTTTAATCTTTTCTTAATACTTCTAACAGCAGAAAATTCTGACAGAGGTCATATATTCAGCCATCCAGAAACTACAACACCATGAACATTTAGATTTGCATGCAATAATCCTGACGAGCCATACTTGCTGTGACATGATGTAAACTGTAGTATACTTGAATATTCAACTGACTGACTGAGTTTGGTTTTACGCCGCTTTTAGCAATATTCCAGCAACATCACGGCGGGGGACACCAGAAATGGGCTTCACACATTGTACCCATGTGTTGAATATTCAATGCCTGACAAAGGCCACATATGTCATCATGTTCTCCACACACAAGCACATTCGTAACTTCACTTTTTGTCCTCCTTGAAACATTAAACCTGCAGGTGTCACTACTCACTGTGTCTATTCATATACACTGACCGTGTTTATATTTGAGATTGTGACAGTAGGGATACAGGGAGGTACAGTGCAGATGGCTAGTCAGCCTTTTTATGTTTGATGGTTTTGTGTTGTGCTGCACTCAGCAATATCCCAACTACATAATGGTAGTCTGCAAGCAGTCAAGTCTGGCATAGACACACCAGTAGTTATGTCAACTAATGTCCCATATCATGTCATGTCAAGTCAGGGCATCAAGACATAATATGCCATGTCACTAAGCCTAACTGACGACCGATTAGTTGCATCCTATGACAAATGTCAGAGTTGGGGATCTTCCATTATCCTTCAGAACAATTTTGTCTTTCTACTACAATTTGCCATTAGAGTTGAAATATTGATTGAATTTGGTATGATAGTAAAATGAGTGATGATTATTGATTGTGTTTTTTTGCACCCAGATGGAGCAGTAAGATATCACAAACACTTGGTTTGTATGGCCCAAACTTAATCTTTTACAAGCAGTCATGAGTCAAACTTGGTATTGCTCTCAGCAGTTGAGAAAAGAAAGGCACGGTGCAAAACATTTCCCACATTTGTGAAACCCATGAAGATTTAATGAAGCTGACAGACACTGACAGTCACGGCAAACCATGATCTGAACCCAGAGCCACTGAAAACTGTTGCACCTTAAACCACTGGGCCACCCATGTGTGTTTCACAAGAACTAACATATCCCTTTATTCTGGGTGTAACAGTTAATGATCAAGGCTTACACTCAAACATGCAGTGCGATTAAACTGTGTTCCCAGTGACCTGCAACGAGTGGGAGTTATCTGTCACGGTTCAAGTACTGTCTCCAGATTGAACTTTTCAGTGTTTTATTGTTCACAAGTTGGTGGGAAACCACTCCACAGTATTTGTTTGATATCCAGGGTGGAAGTATGTAGGCAGCAAACAACACAAACTCAAAAGACAGACAGTATAACACAGGCCATGACTCACCAGATAGAAACCCCACATGTCATAAGCATACTGTCACAATTCATTTTTTTTTACAGATGTAATCTCACAAAAGCCAATTGTCCCCACATGCGCCATAAATATTTCATACAATTAAACTCACCATTCTGGAAGTATGAAACATTTTTAAACTTAAATTTTTAAACAGTATTCTACAGATTTCTGGGGTCACTGAGATGGACCCAAACACAAATGATGTTTTCCATCATGTAAAAACTCCATACACTGCAATAAACCTGAATAAATTAATCACAACACTTTCAACCTGCTCGCCTCACAACCAAACATGTCTTACATAATCATTTGCCCACAAGTCCATCCTATAAAATGAATGCTACCCTGTACATGTGTCCCCATCTCTCTCGACTTGGTGAAATACATTTCATGCATTGTTCTACCAGTCATGCTCTGTGTGAACCAAATCTGTATACCAAAAAGCTTTCTTCCTTAAAAACCCCCACAAGAAACAAAGAAAATGGATATTTAAAAAATAATTTATTGTGGCCTTAAGGTACTGATTGCTATGTATAGAAAAGACAGCAGAAGTATCTTACTTTGCTCCAGTTCCATACAGAGTTTAGTACTGCTTTGAACATGACTTGGGTTATATCACAGCATTTCATCAGCCAAATGTGGGGGAAAGACTACAGGTGAGGTGAGGTGAGGTGAGGTGAGGTGAGGTGAGTTGAGGTGAGGTGAAATTGGGTTTAACGTCGTGCTTGAGAATATTTCGCTCATATGACGACGTGCATGCGTGTGTACGCGTGTGTACGTGCGGCTGCTTGTACTAGCCCAGACTTAAGTTGGTTTTATAGTGCTAGCCCACTGAGATACCATGCCGCAGTGAAGTATGAATATCCCACTCAAGACACATTATACTGACTCCGAGCCGACCAGTCCTTGTTGTACCCATTAATGCTGAGCGCCAGGCAGGGACCAACGAGTACCAAATTTTAACGTCTTTGGGTATGACGCGGTTGGGGATCGAACCCGCGACCTAAGACTACAGGCCTGCAGACAATACCAGTTGACCACTCTACTCTGGTTAACCCACAGCACAGGTATGGCAATGACAGACCAAGGATGATAATCACAAAGAACCAGGTATTATACACCACCAGACCTTGGCATGGTTCAGCAAACCAGGTATAGTGGCATGAATACACAATGCCATTCAGAAAGTGGTCAAATGTAACATATGTTATATGTGGGGTTACACTGTCTCAGTTTAATGGCTGAATGGGTCAGACGGCTGACTTTGTGTACTGCGATTAGGTGCCTAGCTCTGAGGGTGTGGGTTCGAATCGCGGATGGACTCAACGAACAAAAATACTAGAATCTGTACCATACTGAGAAAGTGTAGTACCAAATATAACATGTGATATAGGTAGTGTCAGATGCAAGTGGACACTCAGACACCGATGTCCACTTAATACCTGATGCAGTAGCATGCTTCAGAAATACATTTCTAAGACCCCCCCCCTAAAAATATATATATGTGTGTTTAGGGTAACATGAAACAGGGTCGGTAGGTAGGGTTTATCTGTTTTTTCTTCTTACATTTTATTTTAAATGCACTCGCATATTTTTCATAAAATCACATAATTATGTAATATCAGGCACCAGTTTTGAAAGAAAAGAAGGGAAACCAGTATAAAATTTCAATAACTGAAGCATCAACACTTTCTAAATTCAACATTTATGAAAAACAACAGTAAGTGAGCACAGGTCACATATGGTCGCCCCCAACATTGGGGAGTACATACTGTTGGAATAGCAAAATGTTTCGCTGTCTTTTTAAAAAAAGAAAAAAAGTTTAGGGTCTGGAAGTTTGTGATGTGGTCGGTCTGGAAACTGTAAACACACACATTTTTGGGGGGGGCCTAAGAAAACTCAAGTTCAACATCAACTTCAGTCAATAACTAAGACTACACCACAGATTCCACAAATCTGTCCCCTACTCCATCACTACAGATGCATGTGAACACTGTCAAGTGTTTTCAGTTGAACTTAACCTTCTGTAAGTGGTATGTACAATTTGACAAATATTTGCCTCGACTTTGCAGTGCCTTCAATCACGCGTCACCTTCTGCATCATCATATTCCCCTGTGGCAGGCAGGGGGCGGGGTACCTGGCAATTAACCTGTGCAGGTAATTGACAAGGTAATTATGACAGGTATGTTAGCAATGTGTTACTGCACACTGATACACAGGTTAAATGTTCACACTCTGACCTGGCTGATTGATTTCACATGTAATATTCTCCTACTACTCATCATAGTCATTAATATCGCCATTAGTAATTAGTCTTCATTACTTGTAGTACAACAACCAATAGACCAAATCACTGGTCTAGCAAAATTAATTTTGTCTCCATTAAGTCATAACCGGTTTGTTCAGAGAGAAATCTACAGAAAAGATACCACATGGCCTTTATTGGTTTTATCTTAATTGGCTAAATGCCTCATACCCTATTCACTATATCTGCTATTTCTTCGTTTCAGTTATATATTTTATTAATTCATTCAAGATATTTATTTATCTATGAAAATCAGTATTGCCCATCATGCACTTATGAATTAATTGTAGACGGCTTCATTTGATTCTGTTACCAGGCTCTGGTTCTCATGTAACCATAGTGACATATTGATGGAACGACCGTGTCAGTTTGGATAAACATAAATGGCCATTTATTTTTATGTCACTAACATCTTATTCAGGCCATCGACTAGGGATACTTCCATAAAGCAATTATACTCCAAAAAACCAAACACTTCTTGTAGACATGAATTGAAGCACACTATCAATGCATTTTTCAACTACAGTCCGTTTGAGTCAGAAACGGACCGATGAATTGCAAATTTTATCATTGTACAAAATTGCCACATAAATATAAATAGTACACATGTTTATCATTTACTAATACCCAACAGCTAGCTTTCTTATATTTGAAAATTTTCCGGACTCCACCAAAAAGTTTGTGCGAGAAAGGATGGAGACGGCACAGCACAGGCTAATGAATCAATAACTTGGTGGGCACTTGTGCTTCTCTAACACCTGGCTGTCCCTTTCTCTGCACTCCTCCCTCGTA